GAACTCAACGATGCCGCTGGATTCTTTGAGGCCATGGTCACTGTCCCTGTTATTTTTGTCTTCTGGATCATTGGATTCGCCTGGAAGCGCACTGGTTGGCTCCGGACCCACCAAATGGATGTTGATACTGGACGCCGCGAGCTCGACTGGGAGGAAATGAACCGCTACAAGGCCGAGGTTGCTTCTTGGCCTACGTGGAAGCGCATGTACAACAGATTCTTCTAGACCTCTGTGAACGCCACATTCAAAGACACGCCTGTGTTTTATTTATTCTGCAGGGAGAGCAACATCTCGCGGCTCAAGATACAAGGAGCAAGCTAGGCGAAGTTTGATTTCAGTATTGTGCACTTAGATAACACAGACAGCTTACCGCCTTTCCTAATTTGAATTTCCATCATCGTAAAGGTCAAATGTTCTTGTCTCATTCGTAAAGTCTTGCTTGCCCGTTATCCACGGCTTGTAACTTGGGTAGGACCCATCGCCTGAATTGCCATGGGCTTGGAAACACCAATAGCGTACTCTGTCGCCAACCGCAACAGATGTAGCTGCGGACTTGTCGTGATCTTGCTGTTGTGAACGATGCTCCTAACAGCGTGCCCGATCAAGACTTCAAGTATTATGATGAACACTAGATCGCGACAAAGTTGTAAGACAGTCATCCAATCTGGTTGCCAGGAGCCTCTCAGGCTGGTCTTTATTTTTATTCGTATTGTTTTGCAATACGCATCGTATAGGATCCAGCTAGGAGGGTGTATACATAGTACATTAGAAAAACATTTCTAGTATCCAGCGTCGCACGTAGGCTTGGCTCAAATGCAAAAGAAGACGTCTAGAATGTTTCGAGTATCCGCTCTTCTGTATCCGAGGTAGCAACGAGTATCCTGCAGACGATGCGGCGAACGCTGAGCTGGGCGATCTCGGCGCCATGCCTGGGCGTCTTGTCAGTGCTAAGGACTAAGGAGACCACCCAACCTAGGCTGCCATTTAACTTGTAATTACCCAAAGCCGGTTGACATATATAATTCTTCTGTGGAGGCAACTGTGGATGGGCTGGTGACTGGATTTCTTGACACAAGTTTCCCCATCTCTTATGAATTATAGTGCTATGTGACTCAGATCATGTATGTACTAACGGTCGTAGAAGTGGAAAGCTAGACACACAGCCAAGGGTTATTTTCTGCTCAGTGACCAAGACATTACCCAAAGCAATGGAACATATAAGCTGGCCAATGACGACTGGCAGGTTCAAGCCGATATCCCCTTTACTCAAGCGAGAGACCGAAACCACGGAAAACCACATCCTCACAACGTCTCAAGAATTCCAGGACATCCGTCTCCGTATGCCAAGCATCATTAAACGCAGCACTAAGACACAGATCGCCCCTGAAAGTACCCAAGAACAGACCCAGCCCGTTGCCCAGCTCCTCGCCAGTCACCCACGGATCGTACGCCTCGACGGCGCCCGTCTTGGGGGCGATGATGCCGTCGACGCGACCCATGCTGGAGATTGATACGGAAGGATGTTCCTTGGGCGGCGGCACGGGGAGAGGGGTGGAGGAAATTGGGACCGTGGGGTTCCCTGCGGCCCAGATGGTGGAGGCGAGGGCGTAGTGTTCTTTGTCGTCTTTAACGCTGTGGTAGAAATCCTTCATTATCTGGACGACGGGGAAAAATTCATCTTTATTTGAGGGTGATTTGGCGTCGTCGCTCGAGTCCGGGAGGTCCATGTCTACGACGAGACTTTGTCCAGGGACGGAGTGGTACAGCGCAGCGGGATGTTGAGAGGAGTTATACGGCGGCTGGCAGCTGCCGCGCTCGTTGCGGAGGATGTAATTCACGTACCGCACGCGTTTCGTCTCGGGTCCGCGGGTGGAGGGTGGCTGGATATCGCGGACCACGAGGGCAATGGCGGCGTGGAAGGCGTGCGTTACGGTCGCGCCGGCGGATTTGCAGGCTGCGGTGAGGCGGGCTGTTTGGTCTGCCGTGAGGGTGATTGCGACGCGTTGGTGGCGGCCGGGGAGGAGTTTGCCGCGGCGGTAGGGCATGTCGATGAGTTGGGTGCCGGGCGGAGGGTTCATTGCTTCGAATTTTTGCGCGGCCATTGTCGCTAGGCGCGCGGGTTGAGCGGAGGTGAGGGTTGGAGGGACGTTTGCTGCGATGCGGTAGGGTGGGCTTAGGTTTGCGGCCTCGGAGCCGGTGAATGTTTGGGGGTTGGGGGTGGTGGGCGAGGAGAATGCTTTCGAGGCGTGGGTTATGAGGTTGTTTAGGAGGGTGAGGGTACCGATGCCGTCTATGATGTCGTGGGGGGAGCGGAGGACGAGGTCGCGGCGGATGAGGTTGGTGGTGGTGGTGGATGGTGGGCTGAGGATGAAGAGGGTTGGGATCTTTGGGGCTGGTGGTTGTGAGTTGGCCCATTCTACGCCAGTTTGACCGGTAGAGATGGGGACGAGAGTCTTGCTTATCCAGGATTGATGGTCCGCTTCGTCTTTGAGTTGCTGGTACGTCTTTGTCCATTTGCCCGTGGTGAGGTCCCGAGTGACTTGGGAGGCGATGGTAGGATGGTCGTGACGCAGGGCCAGCCAGGCACTCTTGAGGGCCTCGTCGACGCGTTTAGCAGCATCGGAAGAATCGTTGATACCCGTGGTGTCGAAGGTCAGAGAGATGTGGCCGGTGATGGCGAAGAACATGAGGCCGCTGCCCTCGTAGAGGACCGGCATGGAGGCGTAGAACTCCTCGACCTCGTCGATGCTGCGCTGCCATGTTCCAGGTGACGTCTGAGTCCAGACGAGTTCGGGGTAGGGTGTAGCCATGGCCCACAGAAGGGCTTTCAGATTTTTATTCTTTACAACGGATATGAGCAGCTGATGAGTGACAATCGCGGGGTAATTAGATTATGAACCTGGCACAGTCAGCTTCCTGGACATCGTGGCTTTTATACGTTGACGTACCCATGCCAGCTAGAGTTAAAGCCGCGATGTCGGGACAGCAGCCGGTGGCCAAACCCATCGGACTATCGCGAGAGTGCGGTAGACTTTCGACCGGACGTGGGGCGTCTTCGGTCGGGATGTCACACAGCTCCCCGTTGCTGGCTGTGATGCCCGATCGGGACACGCCCCCCGCAGACCCCTGATCCACTCAACCACGCTACTGGTCCACAACGCCCCGGAGTTTAGCCACAGCGGAAAGCATGACCCGCCCCCGCAAACGACGGCCATGAGTGGCTACAATTCTCCAGAGTTCACCCGACGACAACTTCAGTCCTCGTGACTGGCCATCTCTCCCGAGGACTCTTTCTCTGGCCTTCAATAAAGGAATCATGAAGCGGAACTTCTATTGTGAATGCGGGTAATTGGACGTGAAAGTGTCTGCCCATCATTGACATTTTATTGCGTCTGCTTTCAGGGCAGCTACCTACATGAATGGACAATTGAATTACCTGACGAATGAGGAAATGGAAAAAGACAAAAAGAATGAACCATGGGACTTCGCAGATGAAAGGTCTCTGGATCTCGACCCTCCAGAATCTCCGTTAACATGATACCGATCAATCTTGGAATTTCGAAGTCTCCCACAAGAAAATTCCTGGTATCATGTTCAAGTTCACTGAATCCCGTGTTCGCTTCCTGAACGGCAACGCCGACAAGTCGTCCATACCTTCGGAGTTCCATAAATTCCCTCACACCATCGATACCTTCATTGCCACCGTGGAACCTAGCGTCCGAAAGAACAGTGAGTTTCACACCATTAACGAAAAAACACCCACATCTAATATCTCGGATAGAACGCGATCTGTTGAAGAAGAAGCGTCACTTTGAGGATGATGAGACGGAAGCAATCCAGCACACGATGAAGAAGACCCGGATCGCGGATATTTACGAAGATATTGAGAAGAAGACCCCAGAAGACCAGATTCGTTTTTGAAAGGGAAGTCACTGGGTCATGAAAAGGAGCTTGAGGCCAAGGATGAGAAGCTGAAGGGTCAAGAGGAGAAGATCAAGTGGCAAGATAACCTCATTCACGAGATGACGAATTTCAGGAATCGGACCAACATGGAGACGAACTATTCCCTGCGTCATCTTTGAGATGCTGCTCTCCCTGATCTCAATCGTCAACAGAGAGATCAGGGAAAGGCGGAGTGGAGTGAATCCCAGGTTTTGCAGGAGTATTTTCGGGCTAATGGAATGAACTCTGTCGCTGATGCAATGCTTGGCAAAGGCGATTTCATGGGCCCTGACCGGATGTAATTATATCAGGCTAGAAAGTCGGCGAATTGTTAGACAATGATTGGGAGGCGCGCTAAGTCCGTCAGTGGAAGGGAAGTCGTCTCAGAATGCAATACCCCTTGGCATGATACTATACAAAGGTCACCTGCGTAAGTGAGCCTCGTTTTCCCATTCAACGTACCAAAGCCCGGGATTGAAAGGAAAAGCACAACACGGAGACTCTATGGCTCAAGGACGTCCAACGACGCAAAGGCACACAAAGATCACCAAGCAAAGAAACGGCAAGGACATCCATGAGAATTTCAGCAAACATAAGGCGTCACCTGAGTCTGGCTTGAGAAGTCTCGAGTCTATCTCGATAGTCCCTCCCAATGCTCCTAAGCTAGCCATTCTTCCCCGTCTTCTGATGGTCTAGTAAGTAAAGTGATTGTAGATAGAGGACAGACGCTACAGTTGAAAAGTAGTTACTCACTTGAACGGTATTCAGCTACCAAACTTCACCTTGTCTGGCTTCACCTTCAAATCCCTCCAGGCCCAGCCATGTGACCTTCAGACCCTCTGTGGATTTCCGAATACCCTCATGGCTAAGAGCAGTATTCCGTAGGAAAAGAAGTTTTCACTTGACAGGGAGTGAAAACACTTTTCCCCTAAACTCTTTTCATTCAGGCAAGGCAACACTGCGAATCGTCTTTTCCTACAAGCACCCCGACATCGCGTCTACCGCGACATACATATACTTTCATTCGTGCAAACAAGTTTCATCAAAAAACCAACAAGATGGCGCTGCGACTGACACTTCCCTTACGCCCTCTACCGCCTGCACCGACCTTTGTGGAGTAAGTATCTTCTTCTTACGATAATGCTCAGTTCCCATCCGTTGAGTTCTTGACAGTTTCTCAACGCTTTGCCCGAACCCAGTACTTGATTATTCCATGATGTTTCCCACTGGAAAATCGAACTTCCTTCATGATACTATCTTATCTGTATTATTAAATCACAATCCTGCAGTGAGCGTGACACTCCAAAGAGTCCAGTTGGAAGCGAGGATGAGGACGAGGAGAAGCAGAAACCTGGTGCTGCCACCGGCGCGCAGAACCTAGTCGACAACAGAAAAAGCGTGATAAACATATCCTCGCTGAACAAGGTTCTCCCCATACAGAACTACACCGCCCACTCCAACTTGAAGGGTCTGCCCGGTCTGGACTTTGGCGTTGACTTCCACCTCCCGATCCTCGCCTACCGCTACTCCGGCCTCATGGCCAAAATCATCTTCCCCTTTCAGGAGAAACGTTTCGAGCCCTCGCAAGGCGGACAAATAAGTGCTGCTGCTCGTATCAAGGAGGTGATGGATGTCGGCGTCCGAACCTTTGAGGGAAACTCCGAGATTTGCACCTTGCACGAGGTCTGTGAGCAGACCTTTGGGAACCTTCGCATGGTTGAGCAGTCGTGGAGATTTTCCTTTTCCCTCCCAAAGATCACACAGATCGTCCGCAAAATCATTGAGGCGCGCGAGCGTCATCTCGATAAGAACAATGGTGTCACCGAGACTGCCTACTCCTTTTTCCCGTTCTTGAAGGCGATTGACAACTTTCGCGAGAAGGTCTATGCCGTTTTGCAGTACCGACAGCAGGATGCAGAGGTCAAGAGTAAGTTATCACATGAGAAGGAACGAAAATCTTTGCACTTTGGTGATTGATAGGGTTCCAAACAGAGAATGTGAAGCAGCACCGCGGCCTCAAGCGTTCCCGCGATGACGACTCCGATGCCGAAGAGAATGCGGTATCCGTCAAGAAGGCGCGCCAGAATAAGGAAGAGGAAGAGCTCGCGGCTATGTCTCCCGAGGAACAGGTCAAGATCCTGAAAACAAAGAACAAGGAACTCGAGACCAAGCTCCTTGAGTATGAGTACAACTACCGTCATGAGAGAGATGCTCGCGCTCAAGCGGATAAGAAGTGGATATCCCATGTCAATCACATTTGGGAGGTAGCTCTGCCCTGCCATTAACAGAGATCTGAAGACCCAAGGCGAGGAGGAGGAATGGGAGGAGGGCCATTTGCAAGGATTCCTGCGCTGGCATCATCAAGATGATGCTGCTAATGCTCTGCTTGGGATTGAGCGGCGGGAGGCCGGCTCCCAGTGATAGCTTGGGTTGCTTGGGACTACTTAATGAAATCGTGACTAGCATGACTTGGAGGTTCTCACAATAGTAGCAAAGAACTTTGAGAGAGTTTGGCTCAGTCTCTACGGAAAGCTTTGGTGTTGTCGTGTTTTATGGAATAGGGTTGCGCGTCTTGCACAGTCTTGGTGATTCCTTTACCCCGGATGGTTAATAAACCGTACGAGATATCTGTCATCCTGCATTTTTACTTTCGTTCTCTGAGGACGAGGCATTGCGTTTCAATACATGACATGCGACTTGACTCGTGGATGTGGCCCAATTAGGCCTTCGTGAGACTTGGGAAGGCGAGGAAAGGCCTCGTGGAAAGAATTTGCATCATTAGGATATTGCCTGACAGAGTTGGAGCCGTGGGTGGTGAATGTATAAAAAGAAAAACAAGAAGTGACGAAAAAAGAAGACTCCATGATAGGGGATCGAACAAAAGGTTAAGTGATTGATCGGCTTGGCTTTAGAAGAATGGGTTCCACTGGCGCCCCCTTAGCCCCTCGGCCAAGTGTCACGATTCACTTGTATTGATGACATGCAGGGGGGAAAAGATATCTAAGTACCCTTCCCGATATCCGTGTGAGGTAGGCAGGTAGGTACCTAAGGTATACGAGAAGAGTCAGGTGATCGGTCGGTTACCTTAGGCATCCCGACAAGAAGGGGCGGTGATTGGAAGAACAAAAAAAAGGAAAAAAGGATCTTCTCTTCCTCTATGGAGAATTGAACAAAAGATTAAGTGATTATTCAACTCGGCCCTGGAAGAACGGGTTCCACCGGCGCCCCCTTAATCCCTCGGCCACTTTCTCACATTGCTTGATGACAGGAGCAGAGGATAATGGACCCAAGTATCCTCTCCCGTTGGGATAAAATGTAGTTATCACGAAGAGTGCAGCTATTTCGCCGGCCCTCTCCCATCTGCAAACGCTTTCTTGCAAGTAACATTGTACCGGCACCATGACTTTGTTTGCACGTGGAACACGACATTTGTCGAGTTTTGCGCATCGTATCAGTACAAGCAGAGAGGTGAATTGCTACAACTTCAAAAGACACCTGGTCATCTAACTACTACTCTTTCAATCTAAGATATAAACAAGGCGCTCAAGATGGTGTGTATCAGTTCCATCTACAGCAGAGTGAAGAGTTCAAAATCATGTCAGAATCTAACTCAAATCAAATCAACACTCCAACGAGTCCAGGTCAAGCTCCTCCTTCCTCCTACGAATCAACAGCGTCGCAGAAGGATCCGGCAACAAAACCATACCATGCGGCATCATCTGCGGCTTGAAGCCATCGGGAAACTTCCAGTCATACTTGAGCAGCAAATGCGCCAACGCAATCTTGACCTCGTTGGCGGCGAAGAAGCGACCGGGGCACGCGTGTTGCCCGTGGCCGAAGCCGGGGTGCTTGGCGCTGGTGCTGACTAGGTGCGCGTTCTTCTCCTCATCGGTGCCGCGCATGTTGAGGAAGCGGTAGCCGTCGTAGGTGGCCGGGTTCTCGTAGTACTTTGTGTCCCACATGTGGGTGTTTGTGGCGATGATCTTTTGGCCCTTGCGGAGGACGAAGCCGTTGGAGAGGGTTACGTCCTTCTTGACGAGGCGGCGCCAGGTTGCTGGTAGAAAGAAAGTCTGTTAGGAATGATTCTGGATAGCTTGTGTTGGGGTGATGGAGTAAGGGGGCGAACTTACAGAGTAGGACGGGCTTCATGCGCTGCGACTCCTTGATGACGCTGTCCATGAGTTTGAGGTTATACAGGGCCGTCTTCTTCAACCCTTCCGCGCTGAGTACGCGAACGAGCTCATCACGCAAAGGCTGGACCAGCTCAGGGTGCTCCGCCAAGTCAATCATCGTCTGCGTCAGCAAATCAGTCGTGGTATGGATCGCGACGAGCGAGAGGGAAATCTGCTGCGTGGCCGGGTCAGGCTTGCGCGAGGACTCCTTCTCGAACCACTCAATGGCATCGTCAAAAACGGCGCCCGTCTTGCCGGCGGCCAGGGCCTCGGCTTTGCGGCGCTCGCGGCGCTCCACGTGCGGCTGGAGGGTCTTGCGGCACTCGGCGAGGAGGGCGCGGACGCGCCAGCACGAGGGGAGGAACCAGTGGACGATGGGGCGGGACCAGCGAGGCCACTGGCCGACTTCGTAGCCTACGCCGAAGGCGGCGGCGGTGTACTCTGAGGAGACGCGGACCCATTCTTCGTCGCGGCAGAGGTCTTCGCCTGCGAAGACGCGGGAGGAGAGGCGGGAGACGATGCGCATTATGTCATGCTGGGGGCTTATTTTGTGCCATTCTGTGTTACGGAGGTGAGAGGTTATTGGGAGCTCGGAGGTACGGTCTCTGGGTGGGAAGTTGGGAGGATAGACTCACCAGTCGAGTCGGTGAGGACATGGCGGAGGACGAGTGTGGACTCTTCGGAAAGGGGCTTTGTAAGTTTGGCTGTTGGAACACACGGTTAGTGGAGTCCTTTCAGCATTGACTGCAAGATTTCAACTTACTCAAGGCCTTTGTCAAGTACTTTGTGACGACTCTCGGAAGGGCTTCGTCGCCATCAAAGGTTTCGAAACCAGGGATATAGCCGTGGGAATCCTTTCAACAAGTCAGCACTGCAACTCATCACCAGAGAGACAAGAAAAAGAGACGGAATCTTTTGCCTCACATCTTTAGCAGGCTCCTCGAAAGCCAGAGAGGGATTACTGCGAAGCTCGTGGATAAAGTCAGGGGGCAGAACCATGACATTGCCCCATTCCGTCATGAGGTTGAACGGGTTGTCGCCAAACTTTGCTCTGCCCTTGAGCATGAGCTCCTTGCTCGTCTGGTAGAACTCGAGGATGCGGCGCGTGTTGGAAAACTCGAACGGCTTGAGCGGGTTGATCTCGGGCAGCTTGGCGCCATGATCGCCGAGGGCGTATGCCAGGATAACGAAGAGGATGATGGTGGCGATATAGGCGATGGGCTTCTCTGAGGGCGAGGGGATGGTGTATGGGGCCCCGCCCAGCTCGAAGGAGAAATTGGATGACATGTGTACGCCGAGGGTAAAGTGTTTATCTTATGATTTTGGCCTTTTGGCTTCGATAGGGGCACGGTTGCGTTCGTTGATCTGATGTGTTTGTCGGTGCTGTTGATGGAGGTGTTGTCTGGATCGATCATCCAAAGCCGGACGAACCATTCTTGGTATATATCCCATCTTTTTTGCAGTGATCGTCGTCATCGCAACGGACCTTGGCGAGTCCGCCATTGTGCGAGATGAACGACGGACGCGAGTGCGAAGTGGATGAGTATTCTGGTTGCCCTGGGGCTTTCTCAGGGACCCATCATAGAAACCGTCAAAAGACCTTACATACTGTGTATAGGCTGACCTGTGTAATAATACGTCGTGACGTCGCAGAGCTAAGCTTTCGCGCCACAGAGCGGGTACGCTAGGGCGTCCCGTTGTTCCACCCGCCACCCGAAAGGTACTCGGAGGATTAAGCTGCATAGCTGCAAATCACACTGAACTCTGAAAGATTGCCATGTCACTTTTTCTGCTCGACGGGGGAGTTAGTGCTGTATCCGCGCTTCCCACGCATTCCGCCTCGCGTTCGTGAAGTGGACTTTCCGGGACTCCTAGTCCACTGTCCATCCGCGGTGGTCGGGCCTTGGCCGCTGTGCAGCGTGGACTTTCAATCGGCAGTCGTATTCGTATCTCGGGGTGGTTGAAGCGGTGGCCGCAACTGCCCGATTGTGGGGTATTAGTGTCGATCTGCCGCCGGTTCATGCTTTGACTTGCGATTTACGACGCTTTATTGTTGTATTGCCCAATCAGCGGGCTCTGATTTATAGACGTTCGATGCAGGCGTCGTGTGAATCTGTGGATATTCTGCCTTGGCCTGGAAGGTTATATTGGTTTGACGAGTCGATAACAGCAACCAAACCTGCTTGTCATGAGTCGAGATCATGAAGACGCTAGGATCAAGATTCTCGTTATGAGATGCTTGCGGTCTTTTACACACAGTCAATGCCGCTCAGCCGAGTGACTACAGATGGTAAAACGGCATTCTTGCATTTTGGGATACAATAATCCAAGGGAAGCTGCCAAATGAGAAATGACTTCATGTGTGCACGCTTCTGGAATTAATGTTGGGAATTCGGGGCCCGGGATTCAGCAGCCAAGGCATTCCAATCCCGCCCTCGATGGTTGGACTTCGCTAGAAAGGCCGAAAGAGTAACATCGTCAATGACTTGAAATGCGAGAATCGCTCGACACTGTTCCCTCGATACGGGAAATTTTGTCACAAAAAGCGGGCCCACTCAATGTGGGCAGCATTAACCACACCCATATCTCGTGACAAATTTTCTGCAGTAACAGTACGGGAAGGTGTTACAACCAGGCATATGTGGAACTTTCAGCGTCACTTGCCTCATAGAGAAGGATGACTGAATGAGGCAACTCCCCTCGGATTTCAGAAGGACGCCGTTGGCGGATCGGCCCGTGATACACGTCCCTTCAAAGCATCCTTCCGGCACTTGAGCGGAAAAGAGGCGATTGCGCCAAAACTGTATCGGAGCTCGTTATGCAATCGTGGACTTTGGCCATGGGGCGGCGCATACCACCTTGCCTCAGCCACCACCCGGATTGTGACGCCGCCCGGGTAGTAATATCACCCGGAGCGATGAGGAGATTGGTTTCTGATAGCGTGGAGTATTCGCAAGTTTGCGAATACGTCGGGATCGGGGGCGGCATATACGCCCGGGATTCAAAAGGACGGCGTTTGGTCTTGGGTAATGCTACGCTAGTCATGAGTGTCGCGGGCTTTGTTTCTGGATCATTCAGGACAATGAATGACACGAAGGACTTGAGATGCCCCCTTTTATTGTTGAGAAAAACTTACATATGCACGTATTCTTCCAAATTACAGCAGTTTCTAGCTATGAAGGAGATTCAAAATAATGTGGTATTGGAACAACAAAGATTGTTGGCTGAAGATGTCAACCCTGGCGTAGGCTTGGGAATTTGCCTGACTTTTGATCTCAGCTACCTCATACATAGCAATATGACGCCCCTTAAACAGCTTTGTTGGACTAGCCCTTGTGCAGTTGTCAAAGGTGCAGTAACCGAGTGATTTCTAAGTCCGACTCTATGAGCGCGCCACTCTTACAGCTATGTGGATGCCAAGGTCCTCTGCCACTCAACTTGCAAGCTCTTGGAGCAAGTTCTTCTTCGACGCAAGTGCTCGCCGGTTGAGAATCTCACACGAGATGCACTGGTGAAAAGCTAGCCCACCGAGCGGGCTCGACTTGGGCCCATTATACTTGCCGAATGGGTTACGTGCCAGACCTTGGCTTTTCACGAGAGGAACGTGACTACAAGACCCCGACTTGAAGCTTGGTGACACTGAAGCACTTTGAATGTATGATCAGGGCCCAACTACCTATGGCGATATGGTGAGGACGTCTAGCCTGTAGCAGCACCCGACTGTAGATAGGGAGCTATTGAATACGGATGACAAGAGTAGAGTCAACACACACCATCATCGCAGGGCTTGTTTCTAGGAACCCGTGTAACGGTCCTGGCGAAATTGAAAGGGGGCTCTTAGTCAACATGATAGCGCCCATCAAGCGCTTAGCCAAGGCTTTCGGTTTGTCCGCCCCATCTACCTGCATGGCTGGTAGCTTTTGTGAATGATGCATCTCGGCCGACAGGTCATCGCAGTGACTGTCTCCGAGAGGACAATATGATATCAAGTCAAACGTCTGCGGATTGGAGCTGAACCGTGCGGAATTCGAAGGTACAAAGCAAAGGATCCTTTCGAGTTTTACATCGCGACAAACTGTGCTCGGAATAAGGAGCTGTTTCCTACTTGATTTCTAAGCCGAATCGCGCCACAGTGATGCTGAAGTGGGTGTCGATGGCACAATTGACTGGAATCCATCCTCTGTACAGCTATGACAAAAAGAGAATCTAAGCCACTGGAAACTCAAGATAGGATACATGGTGTGGAAATCATGCTCCAGAATCTCGGCTCAAGCTGGTAAAGTTCGGACCGAACTGACAAACTCCACAGTGATTCAGTGAGGCAACTGATGCGTCGTACTAGCTTGATGCACGATGTTCGGTGGCTTGAAACCAGTCATATGCGTACCTATAAGATTGATGACTCGTTAGGATGCTGGATCAGTGTTTGTGATGAGCAAAGTCACCTAAGGCACTGCCCGGGCAGTACAGCGTTATCTGTATCTACCTTACCTTACCTTACATGGCGGGAGTCTAAATGCTAAAATTTGACGCTATCACTTCCTAAGTCCCCTCCCTGAGCCCGGAAACCTTAATCCTTTCAACTTTTCAAGACTTTACAGGTCCACCACCTGCTTTCAGTGATCATCTCATTTTTAAAACGCGTCAAGCAGTTACTTGACGCGCCTCCTACAACGCTATCCTGCATCGTAAGCCTTGCATACTCCCAGTCGATGTTGTTGGGGTGGCCGCGCCCTTCTTTTGAGTGCTGGACCAATACCGCGCATGCGAGGAAGTGGGGACCGTCAGCACTGAGAATCCTGCGTCACACGAGCCAAGCCGATGCCTAGTGAGATCGGAGGAACTTTCCAGGCACCCAACAAGCTTTCTGACAGCCATCTGACATCCAGGGTATGAATTGCGCCATGTTCGATGGACGACTGCTGTGAAGATTTGGTGTGTGCTTACAGTTGGTCTATGCAAGGAGGGTTTCGTGGCGCCGGGTGGTGCTTGGGTGAGGTGTAAGTGAGCTGTCTGTGAAACGTAAGCAGAGGGACTTCAGAACTTGTGCCAAGTGAAGGTTTGTGCATTTGTCCTCCAAGATGGCTGAGACGACGCGCAAGGAGGCATGTACAGCCGAGCCGAATGACGGAGTAAACGTCGGAAATTACAATCCACGGCAACGCACTTCATCCGTAGGTGTGTGCGTGTGAGTCTTGATTGCCTGATCAAGTGTTTCCCCCTCGCAACGCGCAGTCCTTTTTTCACAGGCACCGAAAAAAGATGACGACACTGCTAGCGCAGTCGTATCTGCTTCCCCGATTAGGCAACGGTGAAGGAGTCACCTTTTGTGTGGGTCGCACCTTACTCGTTTTTTCTCTCATGGAAGGTGAGGTGTGGAACCCAGTCAAGCCGGGCCCGCGTACCTGGTCCGGTATCCACACTGCCGCGAGTCCGGGGAAACATTTTCCTCCTACTTTGATTTCCAATGACTACGAATGCACGTCAGCCTGCAATGTTATTCTTTTGGGACAATCTAACATATAAGGACCTCGATTTGCCACAATAATGGCCGAAAAAAGCAGGCAACAATTCCAACCTTATCCGTACCAACGCATCATGTCTGTCGACGCCGCTCTACCTCCGTCCCAGCGGGGCCAAAAGATAGCTGGAGCCCGGTCAGATCTGATGGCTGACCTCAGCCAACGACTCGAGAGCAACCCGTATGATGCGACAAGTAACCCGAAGGGCATCATTGATCTTGGGTCCGCAGTCAATGAGATTATGTTGGAAGACTTGGCTTGCTGGACAAAGCGTAATGTCAAGAAGAGCCAGCTCAAGGAGTGTAAATGATTCCGCCCCAACGCTGTTCACCACGTTCAGGTAGCTAAGTTGCTGATGCTATTTCCAGCCCTTGGCTACGGCGACGCCCAAATCTCCCAAGACCTCCCAAAAGCAGCAGCAGCCTTCATGAACGAACACTTCAGAGTCCGCCTCCCCCTAACAGCCGACAACATCCTCGCCGCAAACGGCGTCACGACCCTTCTCGACGCCCTGACCTACAACATCACCGACGCTGGCGACGCCGTGCTCCTCGCGACGCCTTCCTACGGTATGTTCGCCAACGACGTCTGGACGCGCAACGGCGTCCGCGTCGTCGAGGTGCCCTGCGACGACATCCCCGAAGAGCGCTTCTGGGGCGAGCCGCCGCGCGAGAACGGGCCCGTGCCGATCCCCGAGCTGGTCGTCCGGCTCGAGAATGCGATCCAGGTCGAGCTGAGCCAGAAGCGTAAAGTTGGGGGTGTGTTGTTGGCGAACCCTGATAACCCGATGGGGAGGTGTTATGCTGCGCATGTGCTATTACAGATTTCGCAGCTGTGCGCGAGGCATAAGATCCATTTGATTGTGGATGAGGTGTACGCCATGAGTGCGGGGGACCGTTTCTCGAGTATACTGAGTCTGGGGCTGGATGTCAACTTTAGGAATGTTCATGTGTTGTGGGGGTTGAGTAAGGTGAGTTGCATCCCTGCACGGAGCCGTGCTGCCGGGAGTGTGGGACCCTTGCCCGTCGCCTTCGGCCTCGGCTTCGGAGAATGAAGCAGGAACACAACCGACTAACTCTTTTTGTTCTTTTCCCCCCTGCAGGATTTCGGCCTCGGTGGGCTCAGGATTGGCTTCCTGGCGACGTACAACAAGGAGATATACGATACCATGCGGGCGTCGAGGTGAGTCACCAGCCTTTTCGGCTTACCAACACCAACACACGGTGTACTCCGTACGCCATACCAAGCATATCAGGCTAACGATTCCATATCTACAATTAGCACATTCGGGTGGGTCTCTGCACTCAGCGCATCAACAGCCGCGAAACTCCTGTCGGACGCAAAGTACCTCCACAACCAATACCTCCCCCAGTTCCGGCGCCGCCTGATCAAAAGGCGCACGTTTGTCGAGGAGGAGCTGGAAAAGTACGACATCCCGCACGTCAAAGCCGAGGCGGGCTTCTTTGTGTTTGTCAACTTGTCCGAGTGGGTGGATCTCCTGCTCGAGAAGCACGGCAAGCAAGGGGACTTGAAGTTTTTGGAGTACTTGATGAAGTACCGCGTCTATCTTGAACCCGGACAGGTGAGTTTTGTGGTGTCTGTCGTGTGCCAAAGATGCTGCAGTGGGGGGGAGCGGACACAATGATGTACAGTTTGCTAATGATAGGTGATGCGCTGCAGGCATTCTTCTCCAACCGATCGGGATGGTTCCGACTCAATTTTGGCGGGGAAAAGGAAACGTTTAAGCTTGGTCTGCAGAGGCTGTTCCAGTGTCTGAGGTTGCTTGATGGCAAGGACCACTTTGACCCCACGATCGGCCTTCCTGGGATCTATCACCCACCGCCGAAAGGCAGTCACATTGTCGCGGTATGAACGAAATGACTCTCAGAGTATTGAGCATGTTTTGGTTACAACAAAAAGTCGCCGGAGGACGGACGTCGGGGAAAAGCTGAGGATACCCTTCCCGAGAGTCTGATCCCTTCGGAAACGGCACGGTGAGATGAGCCGGAGCTTGACAAGTTGCGGCGAGTCAACGCTACAATTGCATCAGACTTCTGTCAGCTGATGTGTACTACGACACACGTTGCTCTGAGAGATTGTGCATTGCTCTTTCTTATTTTTGGGAACATTGATTGGTGGGAAGCGAGGTCTTTGGATCGACGGCGTTGACCGAAGTGTCGGGTTTCTCTGGGGGAGTGTTGTGGATCGTCTGAGATTTTTGTCCCATATTTCCTTCCCGTTCGTCTTGTTTGATGTCGATCTCGGACTTGAGGCCGGTTGCGTGATCGACGTCTGAACCGTCTTCTTTGGTATTCTGGGCCAGGTTTCAGCTTTGGAATGCATGGAAGGAGCCAGTGACATAAGGTAGACAATGAATATCGTGGATGATATCAGCTCTTGGGAGACCGCGATGTGAAGTGACTTGTTTCGATTGATTCCAGTGCTTTTGAGATTACGAGGGGTGCCATCAGTCTCTCAATTGATGGACTAGGTACCTCTTGGTTGCATGTTCTCTTTACCTTAGCTAAGTTATAAACGAAGACGTTGGTCTATTGGCAATACGTAACGCAATTAGAGTTCGCTCTGCTTTGAGATGGCTCCCTGTAGTTGAATGCCTTGAGTCAATACGCTTAGTTTCAGTCAAAGACGGCGAGTCAGCAGTCATCACCACCATATCGGTCTGTAAGTCCACACACAATGGCAGGAAGATCCATAAATACAAAGACAACAGCTCCTTCAAAAGATGGAATAATTAAAATCTACTCTTCGTTATTATCTATCAATTGCTGGCATTTGAACATATCAATCCTACTTCAAAACTTGAGACCGTCATCATGCGTTTCTCAGTCCTGGCCCTCCTTCCATTCTTAGCCACAGCTGTCATTGCCCAACAAAAGGGTGATAAAGGTACACGCAATATCCACCGACTCCTAATCACATTGACTGAAAAAAGGCCGGGAAACTTGTACTGACGCACGTGTCTAGGCGAATGTCGCAATGACGCTGACTGTATCCGATGCGTAAACGGCGTCACGCCACTCATCTGCAAAAGTAGGCACTAATACTGCCCCCTTCCCGCCAGTCTGACCAGCTGGTCTTGAGTTGCTGATGGGTGAATGATCTTGCTAATGTTTTCTCAATCTAGCCGATGCTACCTCAACAACTGGAAAGCGGTGCGGTGTTACGGGCGGGCCTTGTCGTCCTATTAACAAGAGGAGGTGGCAGGAGCGTATGATTTGAAAAAAATTGATTTACGGCACCCAAAGGCGTTGTTGTTTACATCCATCCATAGAAAGGCGGAGCCAGTATGCCGCTTGTCTAGCTTGCCTTCCTCTTCAACAGGAGCAACACCTGTTCAACTAGCCTATTGGCATGGAAGGAGGCAACTGTCGTGGCGAATGAGTTTTGCGACCATGATAAGATGAAGGCTGAAGCCCAAATTCTCCGGTCGTTAGTGGCCTTTCTTCATCTCCCTCCCAAGCAAGAGTACAGCTTTCCCGGGGTATGGATAGAAGTAATAGAGATATCGTCTATGCGAATTGAGAACTCTTCTTCTTCACCGCAGTAAATGTTTTACCGACGGAAGTGTCTTGAAAAGCTCTGTCCGACGGGGGATCAAACCCTTTTGTGGGCAGTATATAAGCGCCTACAGTACTCGAAGGACATCCTCAGCCATCTTATCACATGCAGGCATGGCTTTGGCAGCGCGAGCCCGTTCTCATTCTCTCCCACTCAATAACAGCATTGAAAGCTGAGCTCATCGTCAACCTTGTCATGGTCAACTGGGCGTATGTATCGGGAGTCGGGTATGTTCAGCTTCTCCTTGTACTCCTCGAGGTCGTTAACAGCCCACTCTACATCCTCGCCTCGAAGGGCCTCAAGCTCGTTGAGGTCGTTGATGATATAGCCGAATAGGAGCCTCTGGTTGAAAATATTATCAACCAATCAACCAAACTCGCGCGAGTTTCTCACCGTGAAATAAAAGAGAGCGGGGTCCGTGTTCGGCGGTGCCTTGAACTATGCTCTTTGGGCATCTCGGTATCGATTACGGTATCAATTATAGCTCTGATTATTATAACAGTTAAGATAGCGACCACAGAGGTGGCTGCAACATCAAACTTATTGGCCCACAGCTGCTGGTTTTCCTGGTCCCGGGGACCCTCTTCTTCCGCACGGTGAAGTTGGGCGTTTTCATATTGAAAATGCTGGGGTATGTGTCGATATTCTTCTCCGTCGGGGCTTCAAGGTTGCCCTTGATAATCTTCGAAATGTCTTAAAAAGTATTCTTCATGTATGGCTGCGGTCGCGGCTTCAGAAGACCTAAAAACAATGATAAATTAGATTAGGGAGTATTCCGAATTTGTATATTCAATGCATACAAATTGGTTGGTAAAGACGTGTGTTCAGGCAGTGCTGGCTGGCGACGTCTTCTAGAGAGTTTCTAGCGTAGTAGAGTTTGGGCCCAACATTATTCCAGGCGGGATTGTAAATCGCAGGGCCCTGGTACATCTAGAGCTAGCAGCAAGCTTTCCTCATAGTCGTCGTAAGGCTGTTTGTGAGTAACACTTGTGATTAAAGCAAAGAAATTGGCAATAGTCTGTGATAAGAGTCTCCAGTACTCCCAGCGTTATGAAGGGAAGAGAACGAACGATTGTTACATTGACTCCAACGTTGAGAATTGGAGTAGGTTGAAATGAGGTGCACAGCCTTCTCCACTTCATCCTGATTGACGATTATGCTCCTGATTTTGATCTAAGGAGTACTCATCTGGAAGTCGGCAATGTCGTAAATATGCCCAAGTTGTATTTGGGCCATAATAGTACGGCGACGCAGCTCTTTCTCGGGTGCAAGTTGCCAACAACGCACAAGTCCTCTCTAAGGATAGGCCCCGTAGTGTATTATCCTCTCCTCAAGCTGAGAAGACTTAGCATGGTGGATCTGGGCCGGAAGAGTCAGAAGTTGATCTTCGTTCTTCCCGGGAAGAATATGATGCTTCAGGGTTCTCTTTTGGCCCCTTCTTTGGTTCGCTCGAAGCGGAGCTATAGTGTGACAAGTCAGGCATGCTTCTAGCCATTGAACTCATGGGCTCTTTTTGTTGCTCTCAAGGTCTCCTTGCCTTGCTCCACATATTTGAAGATAGAGACAGTGCTGCCACAGCGACAGAAAGGCTCGAATAATCTCGTTTTGTGAGGGGGAAAAGATGCTACCTCACAATAAATAAACCGGTCTGACGAGGAAGAAAGAGGCAACCGTATTATAACACAGGGCGGGGAGGTCACGCAGTGGATTTGTCTCGGGTTGTAGGTAAACACAACACTTGACCCATCCACAGCTCTAGAGTCTCATTTAATAACAAGACAATCGAAAGCTCGGGGTAGTCGGAAAAACGCTGGAGGAAACCCCGCATTATGAATGGAATCATGATCTTCTCGCGAGTTTGGTGAAGTTAAGGGGTAATATCGGTAGCTTTGCTTGCAGGTATGGCGACATTGAGATTTTAGACGTCGTTTTATGGGAATGTGGTGCAATACGTTCCGCCAGATTGCGACCCCAGGGGTGTAGGGCCAAGAGGTCAATCGAACTGAGACGTTGACATCACTATCTCAGCCAATGTTTACGGGCACGTTGACGGCGCCATTTCCTACAACATATTAGAATGGGTATGACGTAAAGATGTCAATGTACTTACTTGGCCGTTCTGTTTGTCCGTCCATAGTCAGACTGACACTGACAACATATCTCAAGTGAGCACTTGGGATAAGTAAAGATTTACTCCTTCGGCATCCTCTATGGCTTTTGTGCACCGAGATATACCTCGTCCGTGCATGCTTCGATACTATCGTGGCGTTATACATCTTCCTCCTTGCACGAGTGAATGATTCGCACAGTCAACGCAGCACAAACCCTTTCCTGAAATTCCGTCAGCACGAGAGGCGAACGAGCGGCTATCGGGCACTTACCAAGCTTGTCATGACACTCAGCGTCGGCGTCGGCGTCGGGTGAGGATCCGTTCGAAAATGGATTCTTTGTTGGATTCCAGGATGCCGAGCAAGCGCTGGTAACTGCCGTAAATCTCACTGCGTGTGAGGTTAAGTCTGATCACCGCTGCGCCGCTGAAATCCGCATAGTTTTGAATGATGCTCATACCCCAAATAAGGTCGCTCAGAAGAGGAGGGTTCTGCGTGTTGTCCGAGTACTCGGAGGCGGGAGCGGGTGGCAGGTGGGGCCTCGAATAGCACCGGCAGCGACAACCTTCTTGCCCTTCCTTTCCTGGTAGTACACAATATCTGTATGTAGAGCCACAGATATCTGTATGAGGGCCCAAGGAACGAAGCCAGATGCCAGGAAACCCGGCTTACCATGGCACTGAAATATGCGTACGTGGTCCTGTGAGACCTCATCAGTCGGCAAGATATAGTTGCCATCACCAGGATCGAAATTAGGACCGGGGAAGGCCTTGAGTGATCGTAGCTATTCCCACTGGACCTTTGCACGAGTCTCGGAAGAAGAAGAGACGGAAACCGGTTTGAACAGATTCATCCCGCGCAGCATTCTGTATTGACCTTGTGGAGCCAGACCCTAGTCGGTAGCAAAAGACTGGCTGGTAAGAAAGACCGTCAGTAATAATGGGGCGTAGAGGATGTATATACCCCTGGCCAGAATTGACGAGGACCACCAGCCACATCTCGATGCGATCAGTATTGCCTAGACTGGCTATGCCGTATGCTTCGGGGTTTCACCTGCCAAGAGACCAAACCTCGACCGCTATCGCAGTGGTGTCCTCCTTCAGCCGCAAAGTCTAAGAGAGGCTAGGGTCGGGTGAATAAGAAAAGAGAGTCGAGGCAGAGTTCCTTGCGATCCTCGCGAGGGAGGCCCCTCGGCAACAACCATTCTTCTGATATTGGCAATACAAGCGGTGCTGGTGACGGGACTCCCGGCCTCGATGACCTCGATGGGACGCAGAAAGATTCGTATATCCTAGCTGGCGGATCTTATGCCAGAGTCACACCACAATGTGTTTTCTATGGCCCGAGGTGTGAGTTGTTGCCTAATGCGGCGCTCGCGAATAGGCTGAGTCAGTGATATCTAAGGCTATATTGCCTGAGTCTTGATAAGTATCGTCATTCCAAGAACAGGAGCCCTCCGAGTTCTCTGCCAAGTCGAGGAAAGCAGCTTTGTAAGCAGATTGCCGTCGAACGGGCGCTAGATGGGCTTTGGGTCGGCTTCAAGAGTGCCGCTAAGGTAGTTCCTATGGCGTATTGCTGAAAGACAAGTACATGCCGTAGGCGATAGGGTACTAAAGAGCGACCGTACATTAAGTAGCCCGGGGACCCAAAGGAAACTTTTGGCAGGTGCAAGATAGTCGTAGGTTGCGTATAGGTTGGACGTATAGGAGATTCAGACACTGAATAGGGGCGAGGCCAGTTTTAATTGCGTGACACTTGGTCCCGGATACATGGTTTTATATGTGAATGGAGCAATTTGGCCGCAATGAGGAGACTTTCCGGAGTGTGAGGAAGTGAAAGAAGCTCTCAGGCCAGAACTAAGGGGGGAATTGAACTGAAAGTTCATCAATTGAACCTCCGATTGAAGAGAGGAGGGTCATGATTGAAAGAACCTCAAGACCACCGGGTGTCTGGGATCCATGATGTGGGTGAATATCAGCCTTGGGCTTTTCCTTGACCGAGCATCAACGAAAGCTGCTGGTCTGTCACAAGGGGATATGAATACTTGACGAAATTTCTCAATTGCTTCTTCTTGTCTCTTTATGACTCTAACCTATCTATGAGTTTGTCTCGAATCATTCTTCTTCTTTGTCGAATTCAGCTTATGTGCTCTTGTGATTGCCAGATTGTGCGCAATGCACCTCTACCCAGCAAAGCCAGCAAACCAAGCCCCAACTGATACCACCCAAACACTGAATAACAAAGACCAAACCGAATGAATATGGAAGCATTCCTCCGCACCATTCCTATGATTGATTCATCAGGAGCCATTTCTTGCAAGCCGGCAGCTCACATGCGACATAGCTCCGTCATGAGCTCCGCCTCACGAGACCTAGTCTTGATAAAATCCCACTGCAGAGCCACCTTATCGTCCTGAGATTTAGCAAGCAGAGAGTGAAGGGCTTTCGTTCTCAGCGCGCAGCTTGTTGACCTCAAGGCGCATCTTCTCGATGGTAGCGCTGCCGTTGTTTTTGGGAGTTGCACCAGAAGCGTTGGGGCTTTGCTGAGTTCTAGCGACCGGAACATTATCGTATCGAGCTCTAAGAACCGGGTTTTTGGCGATCGGAGTCCTCTGAACAACAGTGGCGGAGGAACCATTGTAGGGGATGGCTGAGTTCTGCTTGTACGCGCGGGCGAAGTCGCTCTCTCGAACGAACTCGCTCAATCTGTCAAGGCTACGAAGAAAGCGCTTGAGCTCTGTGACAGTAGTCGGCTTGCAAGAGTAAGTACTTTCAAGATGGGACCAACGAGCGTTCAGAATGGTACTCATGACATTACCAATGTCCCTACCGCAAAAAGGGGCGCAGCGGAATGAACCCAGGCGGATGAGCTTCTCCATAGGAAGACCCCAGGCCGATCCCAGTTGACACCCACACCGTCAAAGATGGCCTCCGGGTTTTCGGCAACCCACAGGACTAGAGTGATGAGATCAAGGCCGCGATTAGCAATGACGATCTTGCGATCAATGTTGCACTGCACTGGCTCGTTTTTCTTCTCGTAGCGGCCGCAGAGAATATCAATGAATGCCGTGTCGACTTTGTCCGGCATGACTTGATCACCAAAGCCCATGTTGAATTTTAGGCCCGGGAAGGTCTTGAGCGATTCGTACCATTGAGGCTTGGCTTCAGACTGAGGAGTCTTGGTGATGGTGGATTTGTCGGCCATCTTGGGTATTGCTTCTTCCAAGAACGAGTTAGTCCGGCGATTTACTGAACCTCGAAGCTTCTTGAGTAGTTGTTACCTCGATGTTAAGCAACGCTACTGGATGATAGGTCAGGCGTTAAGTGACGCGCTCTCTTTTCGATCTGAGGTGTGCTCAAAAATTGGAATGAGAAATAAATTGGAGAGCAGGGCGCAACAGAGGTGCCAGAGATGGATGGCGTACGATGTAAGGTACAATAAAAAGGTGCGAGGCGAAGTTGTGAGTGGATGCGCCTTTCCCTGGCCCGGATTGCGGAAAAGGAATGAAGGAGGAAAGGAAGGAATTGGTATGAAGAAGGAAGAGGAAAGTAGAGCACAAGAAAGGCGGTAGGGATGGAGGATTTGCAATGTAAACAAAGAGGGGGGGAAGGTAGAGGGTGAGGGTTGGTGAATGTCGCTCGACGCGACGCGACGGTGAATGTGAATATACGCGATGGGGAACATGACCTAGTGGGAAGGAGCCGTACAGTCACCGAGTATGGTCAATAAGTCAGAAGATTGCTAAAACTGTCACCCATCGGATGAGGAGATGCCTCTGGCGTAACAGTTGGGACTGCCCACTCCCGACCTCAGCGCTAGGTAATTGACCCCGGTGGCTTTTATTTTTGAAGGTTCCGATTCCGAGTCATGGAGAGTAATTTTTCTTTTTTCACCCTTTCTTTTCTCACCTACTCGTCTCGCTGTGTTGTTATGTACGCGTCGATGGAGGGCCAGAGACACCTCCGGAACAGCTGGCTTGGTATCTCAGTAAGTAAGTAAGCGAGCATTCTTTACCTTTTCCCACACAGTTATTATGTAAAGAGGCAGCCAGACACTTGCTAGCTGGATTCATCCTCGTTACCATAGACGAAGTAGAAGGGATGGGCCGAGACATTCGAACAGCAGACTACGATGGCCTCGAGCGACTGAGTGTCACTACTAGACCTAGAATCATCACTAAAACGGATCTCTCCAGGACGAAGCATTATTAGGTGCAGAAGGATAATCTCATTTGGCGGATCAATTTACTAAAAACATGAGACTGCCTCCAAATTCAATCGTCCAGCCTCACTCTTCACCCACTCCATCCTCTGCGTTGGTATTGGCTCTCTGTAGACCACAATCACCAGATTCGGCGGCGAGCATTCTTCGCCTCATCGAGCTCAGCGCGGAGTGCTTCGTTGACGAGTTCAAGAGTTTCCTGCTCTTCGCGATGAGCGATGTTCCTGTTCTCGAGCTCCTGGGACTTAGCCTGCTCTGCTTTGATCTGGGATTGCAAGTCCTGGATCGCCTGATCACGGCCGTCCTGGGTGCTGGGCTTAGCCTGCTTCGGATTGCCTGCTGTACGTTAGTGAAAAGTCTCAAAACATAGCTTAGAATCAATGACGGAAGGTGACTCACCCGACTCAATCTCAGGATGAGGACGAGAACGGTACGGCAGATTGATCTGATTGGCAGTAGGCGCATCGGATGCGGAGGCAGTAGCGGCGTTGTCGGGATGAGGGCGATACGGCAAAGAGATTTGGCTGCCGCCAGGCGCGTTGGACTCGAAAGAAGTGGAAGCTCCCATCTTGCGTTCGTCGAGAACTGCGATCCACTCATCGAGACTCGCGAGAAAGACCTCAACGACGGGGTTGAGCTCGTCAATGTTGGTATTGTTGCCTCTCAGATTCTGGATGCGGGCCCGAATGATTCGATTAACGACGAAAATGACCGAATCAATTCCGAGCTCATTGGAATCCCCCCACTCACGGGAAGGGCCAGACTCCTCAGCAAGGCGGGTGAGGGCAGCGCCGTACAATGTGCTAAAGTTTGCATGTTTTCCGGAGATGTGCAGATTGATGATGGCGCGGAAGAGGACATTGGCGCGGTTGGCAATGCAGTACTGGCGAAGAGTGACGTGCTCCCTTCCGAGGAAAGACTCATTGTTGCCAAACAGCTTGAGGTAGACGGCATTGACGCGACGATTGAAAAGGGGGGCATCGCCTTCAATGTAGAAGTCGAGGCCTGGAAATTCCAGGATTGCCTTGACCCAAGAACGATTGTTGGGGGCCATTGTGCTTCTTTGTTCTAGCAGCTGATGATGTTGTTTTCGTTACTGCCAATTGCCTTGGTTGAAGGAGAGTAGAATGAGAAAAATAAATAGGTCAATTTGAGAAGAAGAGTGGAAGGTCTAGGCACTGGGTAAAAATTCGTCTCTTCCTCCCCTGTTAGCGATAATCAAGATTGTGATGAAAACCTCTGTCGCGTAGGCAGCTCGAGGTTCACCTTAAGTTAGGGCTAGAGAATAGCTCATACAAGAGGCGAGTGGGTCATATGAATACTACGGCGATTCCAGATATCAAGGAATACACCTAAAGTAAACACAGATACAGGTAGGCTTGTTTGTGATGAGGCACCAAGATCGGCCATATTGAGACACGGATAAATGATGACATCGGATAAGGTAGGGTTTACTGGAACAAAGTATAATAAAACGCAATCTGCCACAGATACGCATGTCGTGGTCTCATAAACATCAATCACAACGTGAGCCTCGCCAAAAAGAAGAAAAAAAAAAGATTCTAGAAAGGGATTCGAACCAACGACCTGCAAAATACAAAGCCACAGGGGGTCAAGCTGGTGGCGCGGAGGTCGGGAGTGAGCAGTCCCAACTATTGCGCCAAGGCGGTCTCCTCGTCCGATGGTGACAGATTGAGAGAAAAAGGTGTATACATGGCCTTGCGACGTCACAATATTCCCACAAAGACTCATAACTGGGGACTCGCTCCTTGCGCATGCAAACAGACATCACGTGGATGTTTTGCTTTAACCGAAAATCCAGATGCAGGCATGAATCTCGTGCTCTTCTGTTATTAGACGTACTGACGACTGCCATGGGTGCGTGGGCGATGCGGTTCTGGCTCAAGAGTGAGAACAAGAAGATTCGGCAATCCGAGAACGAAAACGTTCTGTTTTATGCGTACTAAGGCTTGAATCATAGGAAAGACCTGCAGGGCGCTTCGAACAAAGATATTGTCGATCATTTCCACCTCATGCCTTTCAGCCTAGACACTCAATGACATAGCAATCCCTGAAGTACCCCTTTCCATTGTAGTCCCCAAAAGCAGCCACGGGATGCCTGTTCACCAACTGCCACATCTCACAGTCCTCCTCGACTCCATCGATGGTCATCCTGATTGCCCGGCCCTTCCGTCTTTCCCTAAGCTCAAGCTCCAACGCTGACTTCAAGTAAACCCACGCAACAATGTCAGGACCAGTGAGACCCGAAGAAATCAGTCTTGGAAGCAGATAGTCAAGAACCGTGGTGATGAAGTTTGTGCCCTCAGACAAGCCTGCAGCCATCCTGAGCAGGACATCCACCCGAAGAATAGTGAATTGCTGCCGCTGTTGCATGTTCATGCCACAAACAATACCAAGAATTACCTTGGCAAGGGCATCCGTGCCCGAAGACTGCACAGACGGGTCGAATAGAGACCGCAGGTAGCTGCACGTCATCCTGCACACGAGATAAATCACGTACTCAAGAGCCTTACGCGTGTCGCCGAAACGGTAGGTGACAAAAGTCTCAAACGTAGCGCCACTGATCAGATCCGAATCCGTACCAAGGTTAACGACCGGCATGTCATGGGTGCAAAGCCCCTTGTGCCAATTATCCAGCCGATGAGAAAACACATTGCACTGCCGCAATATCATGTCCGGCGTGAGGTTTACTTTGTGAAAATCCTTGAGACGCACATTACGGCGATCCGATTCCCGGCCGAGAACGGACATGAGCCACAGTGCGACTTTCTCTGAAGCGCTATTCCCTTCTGCGGTGGTGTCTTGGCTGAACGTAGCCTCCATCGCATAGCGTGCATGAAGACCATGTAACCTGAAGAGAATATCCCGAATGGCTAGTTGTGGGTCTAGTAAACTCGAGACATCGTAATTGTCTACCACATTGCAGGTCGCTCGCGTCGGCAACATCATGAAACGAACATCGTAGCGAAGCATTCGCCAGGCTTTGAAGAGGTCGGGGATAGACGACGCGGCAAAGTCGAGCTTGGAGGCTATGGCATCGAGACCAGTGGCATGATTTCGGATACCCAGAGCCGTACCGGCTTCCAGCTCGTGGTATGCAAGCAGCAATGCGGCGCCCGCAAGCTCCTCGCCTCGGTAGTTTTCAACGTTCTGAAGCTGGGCTTGGAGCCCCTTGACTGCTGTGTCGTAGTAGATCCAGACGCTGCTGTCGTCGCATACCCGGCGGAGCACGAGCGGATCGATGGGGAGAGGCTGCGTCAGCTTAATGTTACTAGCGGACAGAGCTAGTACCGCTGATCGGAAACAGCTGCTCTGTCGGAAAAGGTTCGGAAAGGAGAGGGCGACTGGTATCAGGGGAAGGACGTTCCTGTCGAAGTGCTGGATAAGGACCTCTTCTAGAGGTATCGATAGCTGGCAGTCGACCGTCGGTCCGCCCAGGGGAGATGAAGTGGACGTGGATGACCCTGGAGACGAACCGTCGGTGACGAGGAACTCGTCCCAGCCAGTCGTCAAGGCTGGGCTCTGGGCTTCCCCTACTGGTGCCGAGATGTTTGGTACTCCACTTGTCAGCATCAACCGGTTGGTAGAGTTCTCGAACGTTGTAGCTTGCTCTAGCTCCCTCAAGTTGTTGCTTGACTTTGCTACGTCTTGTTGTTGCTGAGGTAAATCTTGAACCGCGGAAGAGCTCACAGATGTGTCGTAAAGTGGCCACGGTAGAGTGAAGGACCCAGCGAGCCAGCCCTCAGCGTTCGCCGAGTGCCATGGAGGCATAGGTGCCGGGGCCGGAACTGTCAACGCAGCATCTCTCGCCGGCAATTCTACGACATCTCCTGGCGTTGGTGACTGCTGAGGAGTAGGAGACGGCTCCCCGGTTAACCCAATGCGGCGTCGTTTCCTTCGCTCATCCTCAAGACGTAGGGCCGCCCATCTAGCCTCCTCAAACTTCCTTGAAGACTCGGCTGCCCGAGTGGTGACATCTCTGAAGGTCACGGGGCGCTCGTAGCCACTGCACTTTACTCCTTTCTTCACGCAAGCGAGGCATTCCGGGCGTGTCTCGTCACACTGCTTACGAGTCAGTTGCAAGGTACTTTTATAAGATGGGGAACATGGCGAAGAAAGTAGGACGCCACCATGGGAAGTACGACCTTTCTTCTTTTCTTTTTGCAATTTTGACAGCCAGTTCGCTTGCGAACAATGTCAGTCTTTTTGGGGCGGGAAGAGTGGGATTCCATGGGTGGCGTCGAGCCGGGAAAGACACCGTTGAAGCCAAGCTTTCAGCGGCGGGTAGACGGGACTGATGGCTGTTCAAGTCGCTTAGGTGCTCATCAAGAGACAGGAGATGCACTGCTACGTCCTTGAGTTCTGCGAAACATGCAGATCTGATCAAGGGCCACAAGAAATGCCAGGAATATCCAGTGATGGCCGCCAGAGGGCAGGGGAAGTAAAGGTGAAGAGCAGTAGCAGACACGGGCCCAGATCGAGCGGATAAGCCAGCGAAAGGAGCTTTCCCTATTTTGGTCAGCGGGTGCGCCGCTAAGCCTGTTATGGCTACGCGGAACGGCGCAACGGACGAGTCTCCACTAGTTCCGCACCGGCGTTCGGCGATAAAGTCAGGAGATGAAGCGCACCTACCTTTCCCAGTTTAAGAAGTAATACCTGTACGCCAGAAATCACTGCTTCCAGGTCATTGGTATATGATGTCTACCTCAACTTCTCAAAGTGAATCAATGGAGTGTCAGTACCTAGGGATACGTAAAGAGGAGGCACTCCTTTCACAAAGCTGGTGTGCAACATGTGCGTCTCCATAAATACAAAGGTTGCGTTGAAGTTACGCAAATACTCACGCTTGGTCTGGTCTGCTCTTTTGGACATGAAAGAATGTAGGAAAACTCCGATTAGTCTGATAAGGGCACAAAGTAAGAAGTCATAGAGATGAAGCTTAGCCTTTTTATTGCTTTGCGGTAGTGTTGTAACTTCATCTTTTAGCGGCTAACTGGAACCCGCCTCCCTCAATGCAAGTTGCTGAAACTGCTTCCAGATCGCAAAGGCATTGGCTACAACGTCATCCGTCTGCGCCGAATCCGACTTGATCTCGGCCCCAGCGAGACGCTCTGAATCGGAACCAGGTGAAGGCGGTAGCTGGATCCAACCATGCTGAGCCATCACCATCGCTGCCGTCTCCCCCTTCTCATTCAGCAAATCCTGAGCCGCCCCGGCCTGGATCAATGCGTCAAAAATTGCGTTGGCGTTTCGTACCCGCTTCTCTGCCTCCGCCGGACCACTAATTATCGTGTTGAGGAAGCCATTGATAGTTTCTTGGCCAAAGAAGTTGTTGGTTCCAATAGCCCAGCCTACCGTAAATCCCTGCTCCTCGTCAACATCCCACGCCAGGAGGTCGTCCGTTTCCCCGATGGGCAAGGGGCTTGCTATTGAGAGCGTATAGGCGACGTGCAAAGGCGTCTCCCCATCGGAATTGGGGTGATTGACGGGGGCTCCGCAGCGGATGAGAAACTCAATGATCTGTCGGCTCTCGTGAAGGACTCCTGGGATGCTTTTCACTCGGCCCATGACGTCTGCGAGGAGACTGAGCTCCTTTTCGAACGATCCAAAGACTTGATGAAGAACTTTGAACATCTGATGGAGTTCCGCCGGTCGAGAAATTTCCAAGGCAAACATGAATAACAATATACGGTCGCGGCCGCTGGTGTCTGACTCTGCTCTCTTGGCGATTAGTGCTTTCAGCTTTGCGCTCTGTAGGGACACCCTTTCGGTCTCGGTCATATTGGTGGGATACAATCTCGCTACCGAAGATGACATGCCGAGAATGACGACGTAGTCTTTGTTTCCTGCCCTCAGACCCGACGCGTTGAACGGATCTGCTCCGGCGCCCAGGAGAAGCTGGAACATCTCGGTGGATACGTAGTAGATGAGGCTGTCTACCAACAGGTTGATTCTGATTCCTGTTGGCTCACAGAGGCGCGTACCCTCAGGTGTCCACCCCGCCCACTCGGTGTATTCGCGGTTGACGTCGAATCCATGGTCAACAAGGAGGCGAAATATCTGCAAGCTGACCTCTAGATCCTCCGGCTTGTGCTCCATGAGGAAAATCCTCACCGCTTCGTGTAGACAATTCACTTCGCCTTCGTCGTTGGGCGGGTACACCGTTGATGCCCCGTGTTCTAGCAAAAGCTCAACGGCATCCCGGTCCAGGTTCCATATGGCGGCCTCGAGCGGTGATTTGTGGTCTAGAAAGACGTGTATGGTGTCCTCCTGTTCGCACTGGCAAAACCCGATTCGCTGTGTCGCCGGACGTGCCCCGTCCACGTGAGCGCCAGATTTCAACAGTCGACGGAGACCTCTGATATCCGTCCCTCTTTCAACGTGCCAGAGAAGCAGCGGTTCTGTGTTTAAGAATCTGTCCTTGTCGATAGGGATGTTCGGAGCAAGCTCTAAGAGTGTCTCGATCATGGCGCCGCTGCTCGCCAGGTGCAACACACTGATTTGGTGATCAACATTCACCGGCATGCCACGGAACGCAAAGACCTGCAGCAACGGCTTTTCCAAATCTGCGCCGTACTTATGAAGGAGTTTGACAGTTTCAACCTGGTCTTCCAAGATAGCGTGGGCCAGGACGGAGTAGTTCATCCAGATCTTGTGCGTATCGCACGCGGGACGATACAGTCGCTCAGTCACGAGCGCAGCCTGACCCTGCCTTCTGATGGCGACGTTTGACGGCGCTTGGAGCATCAGATTGTCGACTGGGAAGTCAAAGTCGGCCGGGCAGGCAACCGCAGACATTGAACTGGCAAATTTAGCTTCGTAGCCGAGTTTCAAGAGTTCCTCGACCCGGTCTACTTCATTCCTGACAATGGCTGCTAGCATCGCGTTGTATGTTTGCGATGCTAAGTCGCGGTGCAGCAGGAGACTCCGCTCAAATGACGTTGCGAAGCGTTTTTGAGTGAGGGTGAGTTGAAAGATGTCGCGGAACGTGAGGTATTCGCATATGCCGTGCATGATGTCTTCCGCGAGAGTGGATAGTGAGGCCATGATGCACGATCGACTTGAGGGAGCATTTGGCTCCTCTGTCTCAACTAACAGCGATAAAGAGATGTAAAGAAGTGCAAATCTGTTTGAGAGATAGTTCCTTCAGGTTGAAGAAATATAAAGAGGACAATACTATCCACGACTGGAACATTACTTTTAATCGAGAAAGCCCTGGCAGGGCGGACAGCTCGGATGCCGGCATACCCAAGGAATGCAGCAAAGAGCCTGACAGCAAGGGAATAAAACAAAGAAGAGAGTCGCCTTGGCAGCTGAAATGCAAGTTGGGTAATAATGTCAAGTCACAAGGCAGACTGGGCAGACTTGACAGCTTGGCCACATACCCCATGGGGGCTATGGGAGCCCGGATCAGGAGATTGTAACGTCGAATCAATTCAACTCAGGGTTTGGAGGGGTTTTTTGCACCGCGGAACCGCTCCGCTCCGCACTGCTCCACGTGCTTTTTAGACTTGCATCCCACCGGCTGCATCCAACTCAAGAGTTTGGAACAGCGATAACAGGAGCTGTTTAAGACGATGAATCCGATGAAAACTTACAAGCCCCCCTTTTTCATTTCTCCTTTCCTTTTTGTTTTTCGTTCTCACGATGCATTTGAATAGGAATGCTTTAGATCTGGGAATCCACTCTGTCCCATAACCAGGACCCAAGAACCTTGGCCGCCGATCTTCGCTTATGATTTTCACTGATTGGTTGGTCCAGTTCTCCGCCAAGTCAATTCCGACATCAGGTTATGATGGAAGAAGATCTCCCACAAATTCCGCGAGTGGGTAACAAGAGAAAAAGCGTTGCAAGGCAGTTTTCATCGTGTCGCATCAGCTGGCCGCCGGAGTCGACCCCGACTATCAATCAGGGAGATCAATGATCAATGATCCACAATCGTTCATCTACTTCGACCACACGTGCATCGGCCATGAACAGGGAAAATTGCTCAGCTGCTTCGATCTGGATTACAGAGACTGCAGAGGTTCCTCCGCGGCAACGCTAGACCCAGATCGCGTCTCCTAGATCCTGAAATCGCTCTGTGGGCAGCATTCAGTACGGTTCTGGTACATTGCAAGAGGCTTGAACGCTCAGGTTATTGGCCAGCATACCCATTTGAGGCCAAAATGCCTTTAGGAGCTGACAGATTTCCTCAAGCATCGATCAGAAACTCGAGAAAGTGATGGGTCACGCTGAACATATGATGTATTAAAGATGCGGTGCATTGAGAACCATGTGACTGAACGAAAATGCTAGTAAAACCCATACCCCATCGGCCCCATGCCGAGGCCTACTACCCGAACATGCCCCACTTCCCCGTTCCAGCTCGCCGGCCGAAGTGGAGTGTCACACCGGTCCTCCGATGGTAGCATCGCGAAAAAACACGTCAGGAAAGCTAACCTGCCCGAACACAGGAAGGAGTCGAAGGAGCCCGATGGCCGAGTGCTAGTGCAAGGTACTTTCCCCCGCGTGTCCTCGATGTAACATCCCATCTATAATCGGCTAATCCTCCTAGGTTTAGCTTCGTTACTCGAAGAAAAATGCATCGCGAATTTAGGCAGCAAGCATGTTGCTGTGCCGCAAGGCACCACGGCACAGCAAACGAACGGTCCGCCAGCAATTGAAGTCGTGGAACTTGAAGGAAGGAAGAAGGAAATTTCGCTTGGCGTTGGCTTTGCCGCAGGGTAAAAAATCACAAACTTGAACTATTTAAAACGAAACGATATCCCTCTTTATCCCAATTTTCTTGGCGAGTTCTCTCAGAATTCGACAACGTCAAAGTCACATTTCACTGCCACGAAGAGGTCACTATCACAAGCAGAGGAGAACAACATTGAATACAACACCACTCTTTCTATTTGACCTCAACCATGCGTCTGCTTAAACTCATCTCCCTCACAACGGCTATTGCGCCAACAGCCTTCGCCCAACTCTGGTTCGGCACCAACCTCCCGACGTCAACCGCCGCAGACGAATACCTCTCCCAACACGTGAAATCCGTCCCGAGCACCATCACAGGCGCCGTAGCAACCTCCCTCGCGACCGCCCTGTACAGCGTTGACCAAAAGTACTTCAACGACAAGGAGTGGACGACCGTCTACTCCCACATGTGGTCCGCCGCCGCCAAGGCCACCGACGCGCCCGATGTCGTTGCCTCGATGGCAGTCAACGGGTATAGCCTGGACACTCAGCAGGAAGCCAAGTGGTGGAAGGATAACGTGCCGGACAAGGACGACAAGTGGGTTTCGTCGTATGTTTCGGATTGGCAGAAGGCGTGGCAGGATAATACGGCGGCGACGAAGACTTCAAAGGGCGGTGCTGGTGTGGCGAGGTGTACTGGGATGGCTATGGCTGGTGTTGCTGCTGGTGTGGCTGCTGGGGTTATGGTCGCGATGTAAGGTTAAGAGCGCAGTCAGTTGTCCGAGTTCTTGGCTTTGTCCTCGAGATTGCGCTGTCTGTGATGTATGGTCAGCGAGATGGGGTTCGGGAATGAACAGCGAGTCATCTTACCTTTCTTCATGTTTCTCAATGAAGCAATCAATTTCGTCCAGACGTTTCTTCATCTTCTTCATGTGGATATCCCTCCTAGTTTTTGCTCCCCAAGACTCCGAAGTCTCTACTTCAAGCAGAACCTCCAATTCATGGCTCTCGATTTCTGTGCACGAAATCTTGTGCTCCAATGATTGAACGTCTGACTTGCTGGCGTCAAGTTTCCGCTCTAAGCCCTTCCGGGCCTTGACCAACTTCTTGCGCTTCTTTTCGGCATTGCTGAGCGTTTTTTCGAACAACGAAATTCTTTGACTCAGTAAATCGTACTGGATTTGGAGCTTGTTGATGTCGGCTGTGATGTCTTTCCCATCTTTGGGTTGTGGTGAGACAGATGAAGCATTGTCGCTTGGGGGTGTGGCAGACGGGGTCGGGATTCTCTCGTTGTTCTGCTGTACAGTTGCTTGTATTATGTCTTCCAATACTTCTGATATGACTGGGTGTGCTGATTTGCCAAGATCCTCGACTATGTTGGTTAGCACCATCTTGTCAGATTTGCCGAAGTTTGTTGCTAAGCCGCAGTGAACAAAGAGGCTGTGACCGGCGTGGCAGGGAGGAAAAAAGAGGAGAGAGTAAGAAGTCTTCGTCTCTCATCATCGATATAGGTGAAATATGTGGGCGATGGAGCAAGTCGATATTAGTGGGACCTGTCAAAACGAAGGTTCAAAATGAATACGGATGTCCAAAAAGGTCACCACGAACTTATTCTCAATCAGTCAGGTACGAACCGGAAGCACAATTTCTAAATGAAGAGGATCTTACCAGAATTACCATGCGACCTTTAGTTGGTCAAAGAGTCAACCAGAAAGCAGCGCTTATGCTATCCAGGTACCCATAACAGAAACAAGTCGTTGTCGTGATGGCATCCTTCACCTGCTTAAGGACCTCCATCACGTGACCCGAACGAACGACGGCAAGGTCAACCAACAAGATTCTCCCTTAGAGTCATTTTCTCACCTAAAGCGCCTTTGTGAAGTCAAAAAAGTTGCTCGTTCAGTAATGCGACTTTCCACGGTTAGTTGTCAAAGGAAACCCTGTTAGCAAGAGAAGACCGGTGAGCATGGAGGTTTTGGTAGAGTGACACTTCATCTAGTAAAAGCAAGTGGCATTTTGATACCTAAAACAGGAAAGCCATCTTGAACGATGGAAGCAACAATATACAAAAGTCGCACTGTATCCGAATGCCTGAGTCGATAAGAATTGTACAAACCTTATTTACCTTGATTGCTGTGACGCCTTAATACCAAAAGCTTACAAGTCAGACCACACACATAGAAGAGCCATTATCACATATTCAGAATATATAACCGGCAAAGGGGAGAGCATGCCATACGATCGCTGTTTTCTTACGCTAACAAACGTATACCTAGGTAACAAGCACCCTATCTTGGTGCAGGCGACAGTCTACAAAGCTCAGAAAAGATAGAGTCCTCCCGACTCAGCAGCGCCGCAGGGCTATCCAGCTCAACCACACTACCATTATCGATCACGGCGACCAAGTCGTGGTCGAGTATCGTCTGGATCTTATGGGCGATAAAAATGGTCTTGCAGTGCGGGAGAGCCTCGCGCAGCAGATGCTGCATCAGTTCATCCGTCTCCTGATCCACACTAGGAAGTAAAGTGGTTTGTCAGCCAGTCATGCGTACGAATGCTTGTACAATTAATCGGAGGGGCATCGCTCACTAGCTGGTCGACTCGTCCATGATGAGAATCCTGCCGTCTGTGCGAAGCGTGGCTTGCGCGAGACAGAACAGTTGTTGCTGTCCATGAGAGAAAGACGCATCCGTCAATTCCGTGCCCAGTCCATCTGGCAACCTGGAGGCGTTCCAAAGTCGGAACTTGATCAGTATCGTGACGAGCTCCTTGTCAGTATGCGCGCCGCTGGGATCCAGGTTCGACCGCACCGTGCCGTGCGCGAGGAATGGCTCCTGCGGCAGAGTGATGAGCCGCCGTCGTAGCTCGTTGCGAGGGATTGTGCTGATGTCGACGCCGTCTATCCATATCGTTCCTGCGCTCGTGTTAATCAGGCGAAGGAGCGCTGACACGATGGAGCTTTTTCCGCTATAAAGAGCCCGTGTCAGTCATTCATCTCCTTATTGATCATGATATGCTCTCCCGCAAGTGACCCCCTCCAATCTCAAGTAGGGGTTTTAGGCGACGAACCTTCCTGTTCTACCATAAATGCCCAGGCGCTGTCCAGGGAAGACCTGAAATGATATGCCCTTCAACGCCGGTGGCAAATCAGACCTATACGAGGCTTCCACGGCTTCGAAGACAATGTGGCCTGCACTCGGCCAATATGGCGGTGGAGTTTCCTTCTCAGCCGGCAACTGCTCCGAGGCTGTCGTGGTCTCGAGGTATTGAATCCTGGCGACGGCACCCATCGCCAACTCCAGCGCGGTCCACGTCGATATAAAGCTCTTCACATTCTGCCCGAAGCCCACGATGCCAAGCAGCGCCAGGCCTGTAAGGCCGCTGCTATACATGTTTGTGTTGACGGCGATGGAGACCACGATGATGGCCACGCCGGCATTGAGCAGATCCAACACGAGGTTCAGCCATTGCTGCGCAAACGCAAGGCCGTAAAAGGGCTTCTGACATTCCTCCAGCGCCTGGGTGGCCCGCGAGATGTACTGCTCCGCCCACGCGAAAGCCCGGATCGTGGGCCCGCCGCTGATGAAGTCAAGGAAATGGGAGAGGACGGGTCCGCGCGACTCGATGTCCAGGATCCGGAGTCGCCGGGAGGTGCGCAGGTAGAAGCGCTGCACGAGCAGGATGGCGACGAAGATGAATGGCATGGTGATGCCTGTGTATTGCGACCCGATGATGATGACGACGAACTGGACGATGCACGAGATGAGGGATAAGGTGGTGCTGATCAGGGCCAGTGGTAGCTCCGTGTCAATAAGCTGTAGATCTTGACTGAACCTGTTGCAGGTCTCACCTATGTCGACCACATCGAAAAACGACACGGGTGCGCTGTCAATTGCGGTTATTTATCAGCATTTGTCGCTTACCGACTGCCGTGTGTTACCTGCACTTACTTGAGGACCGTCTCCAACAATGTGGAGTGGAACTTCCGAGCCGACCTAGGTACAATCTTCAACATGAAGTACGAGCTGGCACAGAGAAAAGCCAGCACGGCCACCAGCCTCATGGACGCATATATGGCAAGGTAGAACGCGAGACGCTCGTTTCCTCGTGTGATGGTCTCACTCGTCCACCACTGAATCCACACACCTGACGAAGGGAGGAAGTCATTCTTCGTTAGCCGATGTTCAACTCACATGGCCCGACTATGACTATGACTGCATACCTATCTACAGTTTTTATATTGGTGCAGAAGTAAATTTTATCAACTATGCATTCCATTTTGCACTTCTTGGAGCTGGGCGGAATACTGAAGGACTATATAAAACAGGTAATCTAGGACTACATGTATCTACAATCTGCAAATTCTTGCCATTCTCATTCCGTGGCCCTTAGCCAATTCTGTCGAGTATGATCCAGCATACAAGTTACATGTACCAGCGAAGTCTTTACCCTACCGACGATATCCGTGTGTCAGGGCGTATAGAAGACCATTAGTATTACGCTGTTCATCGAAGTTTAAACCTTGGCGTGCTCAGGGGCAAGTTCAGTTCCACCGCTGTGCGCCGAGTCAACAGGCAGAGAAGGGTGAATAGCCTTCTCCATATCGTCATCCTGTCCAGGGTTGGCAGTCTGGTATTCAAGCCACTTGAACAAAGCATACACCAAGAAGGACAGGAGGGCGCCTGCAAAGGGGCCAATCCAGTAGATCCAGTGGTAGTTCACGAAACCAATGATAACAGCCGGACCAAAGGACCGAGCAGGGTTGATTGAAGTGCCGGTCCAGTTCGTAGCCGTGATGTGGGCGATGAAGACGGAGATACCAACGCCAATGGGTGCAAGGAATGTCGCGCGATGCTTCTCAACGGCGAGGAAGTAGACCGTCAAGACGAGCTGCGCGGTCAGGAGCATCTCAATGAAGAAGCCCTGGGGCACAGTGGCGCCGCCGCCCAGAGTGTTGGCGACGCGGAGAGGGCCGGGGAGGACTCCGTATACCACGGCAGCGGCAGCGATACTAGCGAGTAGCTGGGCGGGTACGATGCAGAGACCTCGAAGCGGCTTGACTGCTCCGACGAGAACGAGACCAAGGGTGACCTGTCATTGTGATGTTAGTCAGCGTTTGAAGTGAGAAAGAGATGGGAGATGAGCTGGGTTGGAACATACCGCAGGGTTGAACATGCCGCCGCTAACGCGATAGAAGATCCAGACATTGGCGGTGATGGCTGTGCCGAAGGCAGCAGCGATATAGAGCAAGCTATCGGGGGATAGTGTAGCCGCTGGGTCGTCGGGGTTGTTGGTAACTATGGCGGTCTGGGCTCCGAGGAAGGAGAGGAGGAGGAACATGAATGTTCCGCAGAACTCGCCCAGCACGATGACTAGGAGGTTGCGCTGGGGCAGAGAGAAGGGGTAGCCTCGCTGTCCCGCGGGAGGATGGGTGGCGTGCACCGCGTCGATGGCCTGCTTTACAGGCGTGTGGTGGGCGTTGGAGGTTGACATCTTGTAAATGAAGGTCGACGGTGGTCGTCAAGAGTGAGGATGAGGATGAAGGACTGTGAGATGATGGTGAGACTGCGTTGTTTGATGGCTTGGATAATGGAAGTCCCTTGTGAGAGCCGAAGCCATCTATAAATACGTATCGTGATTAGAACCGAATGGCTGGTCTCGAGAAGTGAGGCGGTCGTCGAGGTTGCTCGTCACCCAGGCTTCTACTGTGGCCTTCGGCAGGGGCGAGATTTTCCACGATCAGATACATCGCCGTGGGCCGAATTCTACCAGTTGGGCACCAAGTGGTAGGGACAGCGTCAGTACAACGATGAGGAGGTTGGAGTACACGAGTGCAATACTGAGCTCGGCACGAGGGATGTTGTATCACGCGGAGACGAGGATCTGTACCCTCACATCGACGACCACAAGCTTCTAACGGATAGGCATGTACTTGCGAATCTAGCGATGAGCCACGCGAATTGCCGTGTCACTCTTGCCTGGGCGCCAATCGCCATGCTGTACTATTACGTGCTGCTGTGCTCATCTTCTCGAACGACTTCAACCATCCCAAGGTTTGGTTGCTCACCGTGTTGGGCCTCAATCTGTGTGTTTCGCTGGTTTGGTCGTGATCTTTACCCAGCCTCTCCCTGTTCTGATGGATCCGTTGCCATGATGTTGGGCTCGACGCTGTGTGTCTCGCCTCACGATGTTGAATTGACTCTTGAGATCGAATGAGTCCTCTGTCAATCGTATATCACCAACATGGTCCAGGATGGAAGCAGTCGACCACGAAAGCGGAAGGAGATGTGAGATGTCCGATACTTCTCATTGGTCTACTATGTCTATGGAACGCCAGGTACCATCATGCTTCTGAAGTATGTTCAGACAACAGTCTATTGCGCTGAGGCATCATACTGTATTCCTCTCCCCGGACGCGCGCACATAGAGTCAGGAGCTACAGATGACGTTTCTCCGCGATCGCTTTCTCTGATGTCCGATCTATCTCTGTCTCTGGTGCCAAGTCCGTGCGGGCACAGGCAATGTGCACCGTTTGTCTAGGCCTAAGCTTTCGGGACCCTGACCATGTAAAGCTCCTCCGGTATTGGGCTCGAATCTGTATGTCTTGCTCTTACAGTGATGATCTCTACAGAGGACTTCACCCGTCCGACGGAAAAGGTGCTCCGATGTCAGACCAGTACTATGCGTCTTGCCGCCCAAACTGGGGGTACAGGAGAAAAACGGCCAGTCTCACCAAGCTCTCTTCCCCATGAAGTCTCGGGCTGTAGAGCCGAGTTCCTCAAAAGAAACGAAGAGTCAACATGAAGTAAGTCAATCTACTTTAAGACTTCCAATTTCGCTGGGGCCGAAGCTCTCTCCCTCAAAGCCGATGCTAAAGGCTAAACTGGCGTTCTTGCCCCCCACTTTCCGCCGCACTCTGTGACAGCCTCAAGAAGATGTGCCATGATGATGTTGATGATGATGGGAACAAAGTAGTTGTCATTACCGGCATGCTTGGCTCAGAGTGTCTTGCCATCGTATGTTGCCCGGCTGGCATCCTCGCGTCCTGATTGGCAGATCCCTCCGATGTCATGCTTCAGTTTGCATCTCCCGCTAGCGCACGTCGATGCGGACGTGATTCGCCAGCATTAATGCACAGTTGTATTGCCATCTAAGGTTGACAAACAGAACGCAGCATTAGGGTTCCTCTGAACTGTAGTCTTTCGTCTGAACTGGTGGCCTGATTCTGCTCTGGGGAGACAAATCATGTTTGGGGCAATCGCGGCAGGTTTTCGCGCATGTCGTGCCGCAAACTCTTCGTTGTTTGTCCCACAGAATCTAGACGCTTGCGCATCCTGCAATCTTGCACGGTTTCTGTTACTTATGATATCCACGTGAGCTGTGTAGCACAGACAAGCTCTTTTCGCGACCTTGATGAATGATTAGCTGCTGATGTCACGGGCTCGTTGCCATCACCAAATGTAGAATGCAGAACGGGCGGGAAAAAGCACAAAAGAAGAACCACAAAAACGGCCCACCTCTCCCCAAAATTCCTCCGCTGCAACATTCTTTATTCTAAGAGAACGAAGTCATACTGCTCTTCCATTATTGGCCGGAACTCCCTCCCGCTCTTTACCTCCTGCATGTGCGGGGGTTTCAAGTATGGGCCATGGTCGACCGACCGTGAAGTGCCACGCGGGGCGGACGAATGATGGTGGTCGCGCAACAACGGTGGAGTTTGGGATGGCAGGTCAAAGTCTGGATTGATCGCCATGCGGGCCGGTCCTAAGCGCTAAGGACAGTTGGGACATGATCCGCAGTGGAAACATGAGTGATCTGCGGGCTGGGGGCCAGCCTCCTGGATACCACCTTATATTTTGCCTGACGGATTGATCGAGCATGGTGTTTTGACCGTCTCATCTGCAATTCTGAGGACCGGCATTGCGCGAATTCTTTGACTAAAAGAAGCATGTAGGTCGTAGGCAGGGAGAGCAGGAGACAAACCTTTCAGGCGTTGAACTTCACCTTGGAAGCCAGAGATACTACTCACGACTTACCCACGGTGTCGGAGTGTCAGCTGCAAGGCTCCATGGCTCTATGAACCAGGCGAGTGACTAGATCTAAATGGAGTCCGCAAGCTAAACCCCACATTGCTGTATTTTGAGAGCCAACAGAACAGTCCTTGACTGATCATTTTCTCAACGGGAAAGTCTTGCGCCACGAACGAGGGAGGCGGGGACGGTAAGACACCAAGTGAGACATGAAGCGGAGCCCGAGGCGTCAAGTCGCAGAACGTCGCAGGCTTGACCGAAGACTCGGGCGAGATGCCCAACGTGTTGGGGGCCAGAAAATCACAACGTGATGACAAGAGCTCATGAAGCCGCGTCTCTCGGCTCTTGCAATTGCAGGCAAGACAGTGGGTCACTACTATGCAATGTGTCCGTTTGCTCACGCGTTCAGAAGCCGGAGCTGCAATGCCACTTCCTTCGAGTCTTGGAAATCCCTCATTCCACCGTGGCAACTTGATGATTTACACTCCTGTGTTAAGCAGGCTTCAACCATGTGGTAGGATTTGGGTCGCAGACGCAGTGTTTATGGTCGATTATTGGTCAAGAGGTTGGACAATGACGAAACAGACAGTGGTGGGAACCGTGGTCCGATGCAGGACGGACGGGATGTCCTGGTCTGAGGCGGGGTGGCGCTGGCCATCGAGGTCGATCGTTTCGAGACAATAAGGCTGGACTCAAGAGCCTGAGCAACGGAATACCCGTAATGGCTAGCCGCAACATTCCGGCCGTCATAAAGAGGTCCGCCGGTCTACATTGGCCTCCATTATCAGGTAACATTGGTTCTCAAAAGCTGGTGATTGACACCCGTTCTCTAATGCATGAGGCAGAGAGTGATCAATGTCAGAGCAGACTTGGACTCCGATACATAGCACGACTGGCATTATGAAAGTGAAAGGTATCAAAAAGCAGCACGTTCAATTCCTATAGCCTCGAAGCCAACATGAGCAAGCAGACAAATGAGCTCAAAGCTGGTAGCTCTCACATCCTATCCTACAGAAAGTTCCATGGCCAGAATCTTCGACTTCGCTTGTCCCTCACTGAGATCCAACCACCCAATATCACCCAGAAACCACCCCTCAACACCTAACCCAGCAGGTCGACCACTTCACCGGGAGCAAATGCATTCCATCTCCCCTCAGTGCTTTCTTCCGATCTGTTGGTTGCAATCTGCTTCTGCGATGCCTCGCGTAGGTCATTGAGCTCTTTGTTTAGTCTGCGAAGCTTAGAGTTCTCAGCTTGCAAATCCTCAACTTCCTTTGTGATAGACTTGTTCTCCTGTCCCACTTGGCGGTTCCGATCCATTGTCACCCTGTTCAGTGCGAACAAGTCTGCCTCTTCCTTGCGTATCTGTGCCTTCATCTCTTTGAGCTTGATCTTGTATTCACTCTCGCCCTCGCGCTTTCCCTTGTTATATGCCTCCGAGTAGGTCTCCTCCAGCTCAGGCTTGTAATGAGCCCGGTATCCGGCCTTGAAATGGCGTCTGGCGAGTGAGATGCTGTTCTTTTTGCCACGTACTGTCTGCCGAATGTATTCATCTGTTGCTGCGAGGAGTTCGTCCTTGGAGGAGGCCTTGGCTTTGACGGCGGTGCCATTGAGTTCCATGATATCTTCCTATGCACACATGGCTAGATGCAGCTGGTGAACCGCTTTGCTCTCGGCACTGGTGGTGTAAGGCTCCTGGATAAGTGTACGTGACATGCCGGGGTTCTTGTCCCTGAAAGACACCCACGCTGAGTAAAATCGGTAGAGGATATTGTCAAACTTGACAAAGTCAGAGATGGGAGCTGCCTTGAAGTTACTATCGTCGGATAGAAGCTTCTTCACTTCCTTCCAGAATGCCGCATTACGAGCGGTGCAGTCAGAGCTTTCGAGACACTGAGCGGCGGCATGGATAATGGCAGCAAGACGAGACGCGGTCATGGTCAAGCTAGGGTCGGCTGTTGGAAGTGCGAAATCGAGGTGAAGGAGTTTGAGGACATCCCATTCACCTTCAGTAACGGGGCCGCAAGCAAAGCCTCGAAAGTCGAATCCGGTCTGGCGAAGGCAAACGTCGATGACTTTCAGCTGGTGAGCCGAGAAGCGCTCAGCAGACGGCGAAGCAGTGGCAGGCGCGATCGGGCCCGAATTGGCTTTTCTTCCCTTCTGCGTGGGCGGCATCTGGGTCTCGTTAGTGATGTGCGACACTCGCTGCCTTCTCGATCACGAGGACAGCTATATATGGAACCTCTGGCCCCAGCGTTTATGAACAGGAAATGATGCATAGAGAGGCCCCTGGCAGTAAAGCTCTGGGATACGGACCAAGAGATAAAAAAGACGCTGTTAAAGAATTACTCACCTTGAAGGACGAGTATAGATAGTCTCATATATGGGTGTAAATGTGAGGCTCTCGGTGCTCTTCCCGTCTCTGCTATTGATATTGCTAAAGCAAAGTGATAGGGAGAAGCAAAAACTGTGTCGAGGTTGACCTGGGGGAGAAGTAATGAGAGGGAAGAAGTGAGGCCAGTGAGGTTATCGACGAGTTAGTCCGCGAGGCGGTCGCTCCTTCCGCTGGGCTACGGGCTCCTTGAATGCCTAATTATGGCTGAGGAAGGTCTCGACAAGAGAAAGCGCGACTTCAACACATTGCAGTGAGGTATGAGTCTGAAAAGTTCGAATTCTAGAGATGCGAGTGCTGGGCCCGAATACCCGTGGATGACCATGTTCAAGGCAGTCTAAATATTCGAGAGCCTACCCAGGGTTTGACCTGCGGATGCTGCCGCAAGAAGACCGGCGTTGTTCAAAGTCATGACTTTCACTTTCGTCCATCTAGTACCCGGGGTGTTGGTATTCTCCGACTTCACGCGCTCAATTTCGACCAAGTGAAAGATGTCACTCGGCGAACAGATCTGAGACTGCCAGACGGCGGCAGCCCTCTTGAAATAATAGCTGCCTACCTTGACGATCGTGGTCACAGGCAGCAAGGGGGACTTACAAGTGGAGGAAGACCTTGATGCCGAGACACTCGCAACTGATACCTTTCTCCGGTCGCCTCTTCATAATCCAGACAAAGAGCTCTATGTTGCGCGTTCCTACTTACCATGCACAACTTACCACACCAAAATTGCATCAGTCTCTCAACTAGGACTTCCTCAAATAAGAACCCACGCAGATCCACCCGGTGGGAAGGCGATTCCTTCAGGGCCGGGCCATAGTTAAAACAGTCTTGATCTTGGAAGAACGAAATACTGGAAGACCACAGCATTAAATACAGTGAGCTTCCTCTCATGAAAACTGTCGGATTGGAAGTCCAACTCGACTACGAGTCAAGGGCAGCGCAAGGATTAATTCGACCCTCAACTGGACCCCAATTGACCCTTCGTCACCCACAGAACCGGATAGTTCGAACCAACTACCCTGTGATAGGGATACCAACAAAAACCTTGGACACATAATTCTCGAACGCCCCCATTCTCTGGCATGGACCTGAACCTAAGGCGACCTTGTCTTCCAACCAATTCCACCTGAAGGGATATTCTCGCAGTCAGTCGAGCAGATTGATCAACGTCCCCTCAGACGAACTGCCTTTGGATTGCTGTGTCGAGTCAGTATTGCCCTAAACTTGACAGGCTGAGCGAGGAATGATACCTTGAGCTCTGCAATCTCCTGCTCCAAACGAGCAATGGTGTCTTCCTGAGCTTCCAGATTCAACTGGAGCCGGGTGTTCTCCCTCTCCAAAGTGCGGTAAGATTGGAACTGAGACGCCTGAAGAGCCTTTCCCAACTCATGGTAGGCAATATCGAGGGTGTCGACGATGTGGAGGAAGGCAGCGGCGACGGGGATATTGGTGCTTGCATTCTTGCAGCGACGTTCCTCATCCTCGGTCTCCGCTCGGATTTTCGCCTTGGCCTCAGCCTCCTTCACGCCGGCAGTCTTTGTTCTGGCATTCGCCGCAGACATGGCGTCTTTGACTGCGGCAATGACGTGTTCGATATCCTTCGGGGTGATGGCGGCCTTTCTTTTGATATGGTGGAGGTTGGTGATGACGGCGGCAAGCGCCTTGATGATCAAGCTGGTCTCCCCAGAGACCATTTGCTGTACTTTAACGTACGACTCAAGCTCAGCGATATAGTGCTGGATGAGGTATCCAGTACGCTGGACATCTGGAAGGCCGTGGCGCTCTGCAGCACAACCTGACCGGTGCATGGATGGAGCGACCGGAAGGTCTGCGGCAGAGTTGCCTTGAGACTGCATCGTTGCGGCCTGCAACAGATGATCGTTAGCTTTTGCACAACTCAGGTGAATTTCCGGAGGCGACAACCAGATGGAGTTTGATTATGAATAAACTGTGATGAATTAGGGATGGATGAATGCGTTGAAGATGGGATTGCAAGCCAGTCGGGACTGCTGGCAACGACGGCGAGGGCGGTGTCCTTGGCTTGGGGGTGATGGAAATGAGGATGAAGACGAAAATGAAGTTGGAGAAGAAGAGAAAGACGGTGGTTGTTGTGAACTTGGGAGGTGATGTAGAATTTGAGGCGAAATTTCAAATCGTGTGCCGGCGTTCGAGCAAAATGTTCCTGCCGTCGCTAGAGTTTCATACGGATGGAAACGACAGAAAGGTTTGGAATCGGAAGTTGAATTAGAAGGAAGTGTCGGGTCAGTTCTTTCCCTCGTTGTTGTGGGTGGGATGAAGAGTGGATCTACGTCTTTGATGATGAGAGAACCTCTGAAGGAAGGTGCGAGGATAGCCATACATTTTGGAGAGCCAATCCGGGTCCCGAGCCGCATCCTTCCATTCAGCGAAGTCACCTGACATGCGGAGCCTTCTCGACCTGGACACTTACTACATAAGGTACGACCTTGTAACATAACGTTCCTACCTGCCTGGGAGCCAGGCCGGAACCACTGTACCTTCCTCAGAAAGGAAATTCTCATCCGCCTCGCGTCGGTACCTACCATGAGTGACTGGGGTACCTATTGTCTACAAAATTGGCAGTGACGACATGAAGTTGGATTCCGGTAGCTTTTGTCAGTCAAAGAACATTGTGTAATCTCGAGTTTCAGCATTGAGTAGAGAACGGTAAGTTCGAGAGAACGTTGTGATATGTTTCCCTTTGCACTTGATATGACAAAACAAAAAGCTCAGAAATGGCAATTTTCTCCTTATAGGTAAACGTACTCAGAGAACACTGACGGATCTGGGATTGTAGTCTGACTAAGTTAGAAATTCCTCATCATTTTTCACCCTGTCTCAGACCCCCGAGACGCGAAATTGCCTTGGGATTATTTCGCAATCGGCTGAGAAATCCTCAGGAAAGTTGGAGCAGGCAGCCTGGCTACCTTACCTTATCAACTTCTGCCGTACCTGATCCACACCACCTAATCTACGGTTGCGTTACGTAAGTTCTCTGTACCCTACTATCTAGAACTGAAATACTCATCAGGTACGTGGCAGTGAGAAATTGCAATGCGTAGGTGGCCCATAGAGCTCTGAACATGCCTTGCTCGTGTGCTGATGTGGGTATCCCTCGCCATGGAAGAGATCTACGTCGATGCTACCGCCTTGTTAGATACTTGCGCTTCGAAGGCTGGGGCGATGTCATCGACGATTGACAGAAGAGCCGTGAGATGACTACGGTGTTCCACATCCGCAGACAGTCAGACTACCTTGGTCACTTACTGCTAGACAAGTGGACTTGTGGTAGGCTTGAGTGAGTTGATATATCTACCTTATGGCGGCATCTTGGTCTCAGATTCAACCGGATTATACCCATCGAGTTTTCCCAAGGCTCGTTTCCTACAGCATATTGCGCACCTAGTTCGTCTCGTGGTCGGCGGGGAGTTTTGCAACAGCATTCCAGGTTGCGTGGGGAGGAGGGGCAGCCCTCACCAGTGGGTCCGGGGCGACACACCAAGAGTGGGGCGAATACTCTTTTGGGACATGTCGCGTCCAACCATTGGGACAGGCCATGGCGTGGCGCTGCATCCACAAACTTTAGTTGAACTGTCATATTTCTCGCTCCACCACTTTGATTCAACGACGGAAGGATGCACCCCGACAAGGCTGTTCCAGTCCACCTTTACCTTTGTCCGGATCCTTCAGCAGCGTGACTTTTGGCTGTTTTTTGTAGTTTGTGAGACACGCGGCCGCCCCCTGATGGCCTTGGATGGCCAGCATAATGAGGAATGGAGGTCGGGGCCTTGCTTTGCTTGGGTCTGGACAATGAATTCATCAGCGATGCTGCAAGAAGTTTTCAGGCCAAGCTTTTGTCAACAATATGCCATTGGCAGCACAGTTCCAAGTTGTGTCGAGCAACAGCCAGATCAAAGAGGAGTCCTGCTTCTGCGGCTCGTAGCTTTCATGCGCCCCCTGCTCAATTGAAATGCCGCATGCAGCCGGGAGAAGAAGGCGTCGTTGTTGCACGTCAAGTGAGAGCATATAGCTTCTCCAAGGTCGTACTGCTAGAACACATCATCTCGCCTTCAAGGGAGAAGATAACGATTAATCGGGTTACTGTATCAGCTAGCATGTCTCTGTCACGACGGTCGCGGTCGCTGAAAACCAGAATCATGAACAGTGTCATTGCTAACAAAAAAAAAAGGAAAAAAGGATGTGCTCCAAGGGACCCTCGAACCCGACCTCTTGAGAGGCAGAAATTGGTACTAGAGGGCTACCAGCGCCGGCGATTCATGCAGCGGGGCCCTACATCTACACCATCCGACTCTAACCTGCCCCCTTTCCTGTGGGTTGTGCCAATTTCTCGATCAATTGGATATGAGTACCCCAACCTCCCTTCGCACAGGTCTTTACAGCCTGAGGTACTCACCGCCTACGAAGCTTCTACCTAGGCAACACGTTTCTTATGCCATTTGGAATGCAGGCATTTTCGATTTTTAGATGAGCAATGCCTTGCACCACTTGTGATATATTCAAGTCGATGGTTTCTTGGTGAAGGCAAATAGATTTCCGCCTGGGTCCACTGGTGATCCCAACTAAAACGGGATATTTTGCTTTGTTTTGGCGATATCTCTGCCACTCCTTTTGGATGATATATCATGTAAGCATTCCACTTCGTCCAGCAAGAAGAAAAGCCATGTAGGAGTACACGATGGGGTGTCACGGCTAGTGGGCTCTCACAGAAGGAGCTGGATTTCGGATAAAATCAGTGGCTCTATGGATAAAAGTAATTTACCAAGTGCACTGAGTTACTGGTCAATGACACAATCCGATACTTCACAGCAAAACTTGAATATCCCACCGACCCTTCTCCATTCTGCCACAGCCGTATCCATGCTTACTTCCATATAAAGCAGGTCCACCTCAAGCACCACTACTGGGTGTTGTTGCGCAGATATTTGGCCAAGTCGTTGCGACGGTAGGTGCGGAGGCCGAGGCGCTCTTGCTCTCTATGGGCGAGAGGTCGGACGATAGGCCAAAGCTGCAGCACCACAAGAGAGTTGTCAGCGGGACTGTCGTCCTCCTGATCTTCCTGCTCCTCGGTAGTATTGCCAGAAGATTCATCAGCGCCGACAGTGGCAGCACCGGCGACGGCGTCGTCGACAGGTGAGGCGGCCCGGCCAGGAGGAGACGGAGCGAAGAGGAGATCGCAGTCGTCGGGGATGGCGTAGAACAAGCTGACCAGTTGGGCCTTGGATGCGATCTAAACATCAAGGACGTCGAGCATGGGGCCGAAGATGGGATTCTTGGCTCTGTCTTCCTCGGCCTCGTCAGTGGCGCAGCCACGAGAAATCAGGTACTCCTGCCGAGCGACGCAGAAGCGATCAAGGAGGGCTTCGACCAGCGGGCCGTGGGGCGTAAAGACTTCCCACTTTCGGTCAGTGCGGATCCGGCCAAGGACGAGAGTCCAGAAGTGGTACTGACAGTGCTCGTTCATTATTGCGGCGGAGGCTCTTGATGCCGTTCTGGAGCTCGGTGAGGTGTTAATGGGCCTCGAGAATGAGTTCGTGGAGCCGCTTCGACATCTTATAGATGTAGAATTCGACAGCGTTGGGATGCTTGGGGAGAGTGAGCTTTTGGGTCATTGATTCACCGAGCAACATCGTGCAGCTTGGCTCTTCTCCCAAAAGAAAGTCTGCGCGGCCTGCAAAGAGGAGACCAGGGATCTTTGCAAGAACCTCACGATTGAGGGTCTTCGCGCATAGAGTTGTGAGAAGGGTTACCGGAGGCATCGTGGTTTAATCAGATGGGAGGAATCGCTGCAAGAGGACACATTAGATGTGGAAGAATCAGAGTACTGAATGGAGGCCATCACCAACCATGGAACGTGTGATACGAGGTATGAATTGATCTGAACTAGTCTTACTCGCTGAGATGATTCGCGATGCTAACAGCCGGATGACTGCTAGTGAGACGAGTAGAGAGATAGTTGACACCAAGTGTCGAAGGATTCGCGGCGTGAGGTGCGTAGTGTGTGAGACGCGAAGTCCCTCCGGAGGAGTTGGGAGAAAGAGGTAAACAGAAGAAATCTCACGTTCATTTTTTGTCCCCCTAATCACGAGTTAGCCCGAGCTGGCTGGTAGCGGACTGAGGTCCTTCTGGCTGTATGATCACGTGATTTGGGTAGATGAGGTTATACTCACCTCTTCCCCTCTGCATATTACTAACGACAGTAGGGGGAAGATCTTGTGGGAAATTTGTTACATTATGCTGAAAAATTAGTTTTCCATCCCCTGATGATGTAGCATACGTGTTTGAAACGACCACAAAGTATCTGGTCGACTGAACGTCTTCCATTCTTCCGTTACCCAAACGACTACACATGTAGATCTGGATGATGCCGGTAGATCGAACCAAAAGCCCCATTAAACCTAATCATCTACGGGAGTCTCTCTGTAGAGCATCTGAAAAGTCCTCCGCATGTAAGATACTCGTGCTTCAACTAATTCATGAAGCTAGGAGTTGGATTGATACTAACCCTCGTGGAACAGCGACGCCACTCTGAAATCCCATGTAAAGGCTGAGGCAATGGAATCTGAGGCTCGCAGTGGTTTGTCTGAACTCACCAATGTGACTGAATATGTCATATCATGACAGCAGTGCTAAAGACCGTAGTTCCCATATTTTCTGACAGCAAATGAAACACGGAAGACATCCTGATGCTCAGTATGAGGTTCAGATACACAACTGCCACCTTCATTTACTGAGAAGACCAGCAGTACTGAAACGGCCGAAGCAAAGCTATAGCCGTGTTGGTAGTGAGCATCCAACAGTACAACACATTTACACGTCATGAATAGACAAAGGCTAGCAAAGTTCTCAACAATGAAACCCAGCAATGAAACTCATTGCTGATGTCAAGGCAAAAAATCACCCAATTCGTAGACAACCTCGAATTGGGTACTCGCAACAAACGGCCCTATACATCTGCTTTGGGGTATGCTAGAAGTTGTAGTTAGAGTTGTTGTCGAAATACTGCGTCATGTAGATTTCCCTACACAGCGTGGACGGCCTCTTCGATATGCCGTAGTTGTCAAGCCTTGGCGACTCTGTCATAGAATAACGAGAACGAGGTCAATGAAGGTGGGGCGGACCGATTATATACGCAAACAAAGATCACATTCAGATCATCATCGCCGGCGACCTGTCGCGTGAGTTCTCGTCTGGGATGCAGATTCGGCGACGTCGGTTCTCAAACGGCGAAGATCTAACTGCCAAGGCGGCAAAGATTCAGCTACCAACGGGCATTACTTCATTTACATCTCATCATCTGCAGGCTGTGGGATGCCGAAGCCATCATATCGCAGCTTCAAAGCTTATGCAGTCTCGTGGCTGGTGTGGCAAAGTCAGTTGGAAGACCGCGCCTGACTACCAGCGGACCCCAAACTCAGACAGACCTGCCATACGTCTCTCGCGAACTCCACCCATGAGAATTTCCTTCGTGGTATAGAATTCTCATAATCAACTCTTCCTGGGCCGTCTTCCAGGCTCGCCAAGACCCAGCCACGCAAAGCCCACATGCAAACTCCCATAACCCAGGAAACATTTCGCCGAAACGACGGGGCCTCAATGCGGTCCTAACCCATTCTAGTATCAATCCCTACACGAAACGAAACAACGTGAACAAGATTCAGTCTCTGAACCGTCATACCCGAAGGAACGAACCGAAACGGGATAAATTATCCAGCTAGCCTACATTTTATTGAGGGATGTGCCTGGCGTCAGTTCCACTCTTACAAAAGAGAATCCTCGTACACGATAGCGGTAAAAAGGCTGGACAGGGATCGAAAGGGGGGAAATGGCAGGCTCGCAGGAACCCCACAACGGGAAGAGGGCGGATGCGTTGCAAGCTTATTTAGCGCCGAGAAACGCCCAAAGCTTGTTCCCCCCGTAGAAAGGCACAGAAAGGTTGCAATATGAGGGAGGCATGGGGGGGATGGCCAAGGGAGGATGTGATACCGGCTTGGCCTTTGCTTGGCGGGTTTGCTCTTGCAAAGTTTCTTGAAAATTCGGACGAAAGGCGGAAGAGAGAAGAGTAAGAGGGTGCAAGGAAGGCAGTAGTCAGGCGAGAACAAGTCGAGACCACTTCCATGGACACACTACCACTGCGCGATTCACGGCGCCAATGCCAAATTGTTGATCATGGGTTGCCGAGTGGATGGTTCCTGAGATGCGCTTCCAGGGAGCACCTCGTTTATCACGCAAGAAGGTGTGGGGGTGTCGACTTCTTTTGCCCAGGAGAGAATTTTGAAACATGAAACAAGGGGGAATTCTCCTCGAGATGCACCAAACGAGTCAAGCTATCGAGAAATCTGGGGCACGATTGTTCCTCTTTTCACTCTACCTGAACGTAGAGGTGAGGCGGGGTAAAAACCCGAAAATCCGTCCCAGAGGCTATCTCTAATTTGATAGAAATTCAATATGCTGGCCAACAGAATGCCACAGATCGGGTCTTCTGATGGTGGAATAGGGTGTGTCAGGCGCGACTAAGGCGATATTCTAGTTGGCAACGTTTTGTGGTTTAGAGACTCTCGAACTTAGTGTATCCGCTTGAACATCTTCTGCCCATCGAAGGTTGAATCATCCATCTGGGTAGGTTGCCACGGGCATATCTACAGGATAACTCGCTTATGAATGAAACTGTGCAAAATTGTGCAAAGACATTCCATTTCCCTTCCGCATGATCAAGTCCAAGCTCTGCCGCGCGTGCGTCTTTGCGCCGCATCTCCCACGACTCCAGGCGAGACACCGCACGCACTCTTGTCCGTCAAGCAAATCCATCAAGATGGGATGCGCGTATTGACTGATGAGTAAACCACATCAGCCTTCCAGTCCTGCAACGCCGTTGGCGACTTGGCGTATGGCGGGTAGATGGATGACGCCGGACAATCAATCCTTGGATGGGATGGGTGGACGGGGTGGACGGTCAAAGGGGACGGAAGTAGGAGTGGACGTGACAGATGGACGGAGAAATGTTCGATTAGGGAAACATATGTAAACCGAATAGAAGGGAGTGTCCCAGCTCGAAATATGCAGCCCAGCGAGGAAAACGCGGAGAGACCCGCGCACAACCACAATCGTCGAATCAAGCTTTCGTGAGGCCCCGCTAGTCAAATTTGTGGTCTCTTCGCGCTTGGGTTTACCCTGTAAAATCCCCCAGGGACGGGTGGCCCAGCAAGCTTCTACTCAAGTATCCGTAACACACTTTGGCGAATTAGACCAAAAGTCTGATCTTCCTTCTTTCCCCCTATCCGCGGCTACAGCACCTTTCCAATACGATGATTCCGTTCTCCTGTGGTGCCTTCTTCCGAAGCTGAAGGAAGCTGGGTTGACGCGTGTAAGAGAAACGGAACTCTGCTCATCTTGGCTCTTCAAACCCGTCGACATTTGGCGCGTCGATTTCGAGAGTTGGTTTTCAGCTTACACCATCGAAAGTGTCTTTTTGTTTGCTCTGAGGTGTCTGGTTTTCTTGGAATGCTGACTGTCGGCATAGCAAGCGATTGGCCGAGGTTGTTTTGTTTTGGTTTTGTTTTGTTATCCTGACGAGCTGCCAAGTCGCGCAAAATTGCCACTTGCTGGGCGATTCTTGGCTACCCCAAGCGGTTCGTCGATCACAGCATCGTAATACAGCTTGGCAGGAACAGGAAAGGTTGTCAAGAATGATATTGGTATTTCATAATTCATCGTATACATGGCGCAGAAGTATGCTTGCGCCTGATTGTCTGTCTACTTTCCCATGCCTCTTCGTGTGCTGGTGTTGTGAGCGTGTTGTCGTGTTTGACTCCCAGAGCCTATTATCGTATCCCCACCCCATTGTCCGCTCGATATGAGATGAGCCAAATAGGCATTAAATGTGTTCGCTTTTGTGACCAAGATCACATCCGATCCTTGTCCTTGACCGGGTCTTCAAACATCCAAATATTCGTGCTCTCAGGTCTTGCCTTGCCTTTACTGGATTGCGCGTATTTGTCGATAGGACTCGGGTGGGACTTGTCGGGGCTCCGAATTTCCTTCAGTTCCAAACCAACGACTCTCTCGAGGTCCTTTGCTTTGAAGTCTCCGGTCATTGGTGTCCCGTCTTGTTGCCATGGTGGTGTTTCGTACCACAGGTCGGGGTGCACTGTGGAATTTCGCCGGCGCTTGTTGAATAATTTGGGGAACCACTGTCTCAGCTTTGCGGCTACTCTGTTGAAAAGCTCGTCGGCTAATGGCCTGAATCCCGGGATAGAGAGTGCGATGAGCGTCGCACCGATTTCAGACACTTCAATTGCGAGAAGCGGGCTGTAGATCCATGACTGGTCTGGTTGCCATTGACCGTTGATGACTAAAATGAGGCGGGCAATTGAGATTGCGACAACACTGTGAACAGTTAGTAAGTGAATTATCAATGAGCAGGCTAAGCGCTACTCACAAAATTCCGGGTAGTAGAATGCAAGC